AACATGGATATGAGTTGTCTAGGGATGGGAACCATTCTCTAGGTTTTAGTTTATTTTTACATACCAAAATTAATTAGAATGTATGAGTCGATAACTGTGGTACTTGTATAATATACTCTTCAAAAAAACAAAGTTGGGGATATTGAAATACAAATACCTATGCAGGTTGTGATATGATAAATAGTCATGGACACTTGGCATGCTTTGAGAGTATGTTCACAGATGAAGAACTTATTGCCCCAATAGAAACACTGAGCTGCACATGCGACACGCAATAGCGCCATACACATGGGAGTGGTTCATTGTCAAATTTGACACTTCAATGAAGGGTTGACGAAAACTGCCGCGTGCTGGTTTATCCTATCCATGTTTGCTTTCCTATCGGTTCTTGCATAAGATTTACTGTTTAGCGTATCTTTGCTTTAGCGTGTTACGTTTAATTTCATCTGGAGACGTGTTCGTCGACGTCAACGTCAACCGACAACACTGCAAGATTGCCCCAAATCGTGATTGGACGGTTGATTAGGAGCATGCCACGACGAATTGCTGAATGCCTGAGGATTGGTGGAGCGATTACTCATATTAACACAAAAATCAAAAACGTCCATTTTCACTTTTGACAGTGTATCTCTTTGCGAGTGAAATGGGGCCGTCAGATAAGCCGCCCATATGAACTGTTTATGTTCATGTGTAGGCAGTTAGTAACATACACTGGTTACCTCTAATAAAAACAGCAGTGCATTTCCGCAGTTTTGTATTGTTTCTGAATATCACCTACTTCAAGAGTATATTTAGATTTTTCAGACGAAAAGCTAGTGTTTGTCATATGCCGTTTGTTCTTTATTTTAAGGCACGGCTATTGCAGACGGAAAGCTTCAAGAATCTAAAGTAAGAGAAATGATGAAACCCATGTGGTACACCAGAATGAAGTTGGGAGAATTTGATCCACCAGAGATGAATTCTTATAAACTGTTAAATCTATCAGTTGTACAAAGTCCAGAACACAGAAAACTCGCCATACAAACAGCTATGAAAACCTTTGTTCTTCTTAAAAACGAAAATAACTTTCTCCCTTTGAAATCCGGAACACAATTCCAGAAAATTGCGGTGTGTACTAGATAATATTTGCATTAACACTATTATTTGTATTGCCAATATAGCAATGTCATATATACTGTCCTTGGTATAATTGGGATTGTTGTTTTGTACGTTACCCGTTACCTCACGTTTTTTTTAATATTGCGCTTTCCAACGGAGAAAACTTTCAAAATTGGTCTGTACCTTTTTGCACCCATTGCAAATTATTTATATTTTCCAATAAAAGAAGGTGCATTTCACTCACCACTGTATTGAATTACATTCATTTCGGCATTATTTCAATTTTTGTCTATAGATTGTTGGTCCTTTGGCTAATAATTCAAAGGTTCAGACAGCTAACTACTCACCACCAGTTGATCCACGCTACACGACTACACCATTGATGAACCTATCAAGATTAGGAAACTCTGTTCAGTATAATCCTGGGTGCATTGGAAGCACTAGATGCCAGACTTATGACCATGCGGGTTTGAAACAAGCTGTGAATGGTGTTGACTTTGTGATTGTTTGTCTTGGACTTGGTATGTTATAATCTATTCACTCAATGGGAAATTACTCTGCGATCTGCTGTGAACTCTAAACTATAATATAACCAGGTGTTATAGCTATAGTGAGTGGGTAAATGTAAATAGTGTATAGATTGTACAATCCGAAAATGCTAAATACATAATATTTATACGAAGAAAAACATGCTATTTATATCTATTTTATACTTTATATAGGTAATGATATTGAAAGAGAGGGCTTAGATAGACATACAATTGAGCTTCCCGTTAATCAGTCACAGATCCTACAGGATGCTGTCAATAATAGTAGGTACTCTGCTTGTTTAAATGATTACACAAATATGCTCCAATTATAAAATATATCAAGATCACTCCCTGCTACCCTTTGACATTGTGGTTTTTCTTGCTACCTCTAATTCGTGTCTTTTAACCCTGAGAGATTTCTTGCCGTTCGATTGGCCCTTATTAAGGGTAAGTTCAAGACGACAGGTTTCAACCAATACCCTCACTACTTTTAGTATTTTCTCAGTTTACAAGTGTCTTCGGTGTTGATTTAATGCTGGATATGTTGTTTATATTTCTAGGTCCAGCTAATACACCCGTTCTACTGATCTTGTTTAATGCTGGACCGGTTGATATAACATGGGCTGATAGTAATCCTAGAGTTGTTGCTATCTTAGAAGCTTTCTACCCTTCTCAAGCTACAGGAGAAGCTTTGTTGAACGTTGTTACAATGAACGGATCGGATTCTGTTCCAGCAGCAAATGACCAACAGGTAAAAAAAATAGTTAAGCATTTGAAACCGAATATTTACAGGATGAAATTCTCGATTCGCATTTTTGGATTTGAATGCCATTAATGATGGGTGGTAATAACTACAGTATATATAAAACCTAAAAATAATTTATACGTACTTATGATTATTCGTAGTCTTGAGATACCCTCATTTTATATTGGGTATATTGTCCGTAGACACGCCTTTCTGTCCGTCATTCCATTCGTCGAAATGTATTGCGGGCGCTCTTTTGGCCACAGGTTTTGAAACATGCTGGCATCGTTAGGATATTCCTAACGAGGAATCCTATCAAAACTCAGATTTTAGCTAATTTTATTGCAGTTATCGCCACGAACACCGAAAGCCGCCATTCAAAATGCTGCTAGGGCGTATATTCGTTATTTGGCAAAGTTTTTTTTATTATCATCATTACAGATTCCACCAATAGCGAACTATTCAATGGAAGGTAGAACATATCGATATATTAACTATGATCCACTATATCCCTATGGTTATGGTTATCTTATACAAGTTTTACCTACTCTAATCTACAATTTAGTCAGTCAATATTAGCAGGCAATGATGTAGAGGGATCAGTAGATGTTTATAATAATGGTCAAATATCAGCTGATGAGGTTATTCAAGTTTGTATCAACTGGCAAAATAGTCCAGTACCAACACCTAAACTACAATTAGTGGATTTTAAGAGACAGTATATTATAGCTCAGAATAAAATAAGAGTAACATTTAGAGTTAAAGGTGAAAGTATGGCGGTATGGATGGAAGATAACAGTGGATGGATGGTTTATCCAGGTTAGTTTCAATCATACAACTGTTTATAATTACTCTTAAGTTACCGGTACATAAAGATGTAATAGGCTTGTGTTTATCTCAGGAAAATATGACTAATACTTTTATTTTCAAACTTTACGTTTTTATTTCAGGACAATAAGGATCGAGTTATACATTTCATGAAAATATATTTATATATAGGTTTATATTTTAGGACAATATGGAGTATTTGTGGGAGGACAGCAACCAAACCAGAATAAAACTACGAACTCTAATGTATTGTCAGGAATTTTTAGAGTTACGGAAACCAGATTTCTTGGGAAATAATCTATATATATATTTTTGACTGCCGTTTGTCTGTCTGTCTGTTCGGGGTTGGCGGCTACACTAGGTCTGCCCCGAGTCTGAAATTTGGGGTGTAGGGGTAGCTCGGACCGGTGAGTAACATAGGCCAGGTGGCGTTAGTCTACCACTTCCGGTTTCGGAGTTATGACCCCCGAGCAAAGCCGGTCTGTTCGGGGTTGGCGGCTACACTAGGTCTGCACCGGGTCTGAAATTTGGGGTATAGGGGTATCTCGGACCGGGGAGTAACAAAGGGCAGGTGGCGTTAGTCTACCACTTCCGGTTTCGGAGTTATGACCCTCGAGCGAAGTCTGTCTGTTCGGGGTTGGCGGCTACATCTGCCCCGAGTCTGAAATTTGGGGTATAGGGGTAGCTCGGACCGAGGAGTAACATATGCCAGGTGGCGTTAGTCTTCCACTTCCGGTATCGGGGTTATGACCCCCCGAGCGAAGCCGGTCTGTTCGGGGTTGGCGGCTACACTAGGTCTGCCCCGAGTCTGAAATTTGGGGTATAGGGGTAGCTCGGACCGGGGAGTAACGTAGGCCAGGTGGCGTTAGTCTACCACTTCCGGTTTCGGAGTTATGACCTCCGAGCGAAGTCTGTTCGGGGTTGGCGGCTACACTAGGTCTGCCCCGAGTCTGAAATTTGGGGTATAGGGAAGCTCGGACCGGGGAGTAACATAGGCCAGGTGGCGTAAGTCTACCACTTCCGGTTTCGGAGTTATGACCCCCGAGCGAAGCCGGTCTGTTCGGGGTTGGCGGCTACACTAGGTCTGCCCCGAGTCTGAATTTGGGGGTATAGGGGTAGCTCGGACCGGGGAGTAACATAGGCCAGGTGGCGTTAGTCTACCACTTCCGGTTTCGGAGTTATGACCCCCGAGCGAAGCCGGGTATCCTGCTAGTAATAAACATAGTTTAATGGACCATTTACCATTACTGAATATAATGAAGTATGTTATATTGTTTATAATGTTAAATGTCCATCTGATAAATATGGTAGACAGGCCACTGAATGAGTGATATTGGGTGTTCAGAAATACAGATTTATTTCTAAAAGAAAAAAATTAAGGAATAAATTCATATTATTTACCAAACAGCAAGCTTAGCCGGCCGATCATAGCTACATGTGAACAGTTGCCGTTGCATTCACCAATTCGTATCCCATATGAAATGTTGTGCTCAATATTGGACGGTTTCTCAAAACTGTTCTCGATACAATGGCCGATTGGCAGAAATATTGGTTATGCATAACCTTCATCCTCCTCCTTGGACCCATAGCACCAACAATATAATACACACACACACACCAACAATACACACACACCATAAACCAGAACACAGAAAAAAACATTCGAGTCTGTAAACAATAAATTGCATTTTTATTCCTAAGAGCGAGAAGTATTATACCTTGCCAAGCTGGAGATAAGTTTCAAAGCTGTGGGTAAAAGGAAGAAGACTGTCGATTTGAAAATAACAACGAACACAAAGTCATTTCTGAAATATTGACCATTTATTTGAGGGATCCAATGAAACATTTTGTATATCTATATACAATTATAAAATGCCAGTCGTGTCATAAAGATATACATGAAAACACACCTACCAATGTCTTGACATTTAATGATATTCATATGCTATATTTAATGACTTTTTAAAGATCACTTTTGTTATTCAGTATAACACAAAATTTACACTTTATTGTGTGCCTTGTATGTTTCCAATAACATTAAGAGTATACCATGTGTTTATTTATATTCTGTCATTCTTCTTATTTAAGGTAACATCTTTATTATATTTTTTCATTTAGACTTATGTTTCTTTGATGCTGGTCTATATTCAATCTTCTGTTTAGTTGAATGTGTCTTTTTCTTCCTAATACCTGGGCCTTTACAGCTCACTTCTGATAAGGAGTTAAGGATTTCTAAATAATGTTGCATGTAAATATATCCTAATTTCAACAATCCATATAATACATATAATATAAAAAATAAACTTCATGACAGACACCGTCATATTCACTAAAATAGTCTTTAATATACAGTGTAAATGGAAAATGAATCAAATATCCATGCACAACTTTGCACAAGTATTATTTTGTTACTAATCATAACGCGAAAAAGGGAGCCACGGTGGCTAGGTGGTTAAGACGCTGGCTCGCTAGCCTGGAGGTCGCGTGTTCGATCCCTGCATTGGCCGAGAAAGTTCATCTGGATTTTCCGACGTGGTTTCCCCTTGTCAGTGGTGCAGAACGGAGGGCCTGACAAGGACAGCTGTCTAGTCCTTCGGATGAGACGAAAAACCGAGGTCCCGTGTATACATTAGAATGTACGTAAAAGATCCCTTGGCAGTTTGAATTCGATATAAGAGTAGACGATAGTGCCGCTGCCCGGGCAAAATTTCCCTCATAGCACACTGTATGGCGTATTTCGGTCTTCATTAGCCCAGTATAGGAGCAGAACAGTAGGACGTTAAACCCCATTTCATTTCATTTCATAACGCGAAAAAAAATTTGGTTAAGCCCAGAAAGTACATGTGGTTTCCTCATATCAGTGATCCAAGATGGCCTTTAGGAGGGCCTGGTCAGGAGCAGTGTTTCATCATTCAGATGGGATCAAAACCGAGATCCTGTGTATATATTGGCATACAGGTAAAAGAACCCTTGACAGTTGGAATTCGAACTAAGAGTGACTGTAACGCCGCTGTCTGAGCAAGATGTACTCATAGCACATTGCATGGCATATGCCCGTCTTCAATATTCTCATTGGAGCAGAAAATTAGGATGTTAAACCACAATCATTTAATTTCATTCAGGAATATTTCAAAATAAAATCAAATGGCTATAGGAGAGAAAATTTGGCCAGTCTAGCAACTGAATTCCTGGGTCATAAGTTTTTGTCTCATACACTCTTTCCAATAAATTGAAATTTAAATCTTGAGAGATCATCTTGAACAACACCAGAATCCAACCTAGAACAATCTATTGGAGTTAATATTTTGAAATATACTGAAATGTATAAACATCATAAAGCAAATATGGTATATTAACATATGATTGTAAAGGATACTGAGCTCAACATAAGGTGGAACAGAAAATCCATATGACAAAGCTACCTTCTGTAAATCTAAAGACTGTACATCAAATATATCTCTATGAGCATGAGCAGCATAAGATCCAACAAAACCTTTATATCCTTCTTTTGCAGATTTATTTAAGAAATAATTTTGACTGATCAATTTCTCTAGCTGTAATAGAAATCAATGTACAAATTACAATATGTCATGTCATTTTGAGTTCTAAGACAAATTAATTATGTACTAAATTTTAAACAGGGTGAACAGATTTGAAATCATAAATACCTTTTTAAATTATATACAAAACAAGTCAATGCCGAGGCTGATGTTTCCTGCTGTAAACCCCAAATAGATTACTTGCACATTTATCATTTTATAAAGCATCGATCAATCAAATTACTTGTGATCCTGCTTAACCAAAGTAAAAAAAAAGCTCACAAATGAACATAGTTGCACCACTCACACATACAATCAGAATTATTTTGTTGCAACACATTGACATATCAAATCAATTACCTCTGAATTAAAATCAAATTCAGTCAAGACATTCACCTAATGAACATCTACACCAAATTTTAACAATAAGAAGCAGAGTTAATATGCCCCAAAAAGTGTGACATACAGACAGATGAACCCAGTATTATTGTCATCTGCTTTCTTTGATAGAAGGTGGGGGACAATACAAATAAGACATTGCAGACCATCTTAAGACGACAGGTAGAAGAATTCTTCTTCAAACAATACATACCTGCGGTTGTATATTTGCAATTTTACTCCAAGAAAACTCAAATTCATTTAACTGGACTTTGGACTGTTTAAGATATCTAAGAAAACCCAATTCTTCAGGTCGTAAGATAAGTAAAGCATGACCAATACCTCCATCACCACGAGCTGTTCTACCTACTCTATGTATATATTCCTGCAAATATAAATAAACCATGGTCATATTTTTTCTCTGCTTATTCGAATACATACAGTCTTAAATATATATTCCGACTTTAATTGCTTTAGTATTGACCGAAATATCAAAGTGCTAACTAGGGATTAAAATATAATTCTGCAGTAGTAGAGAAACCATCTCAACTTCATCGAAACACAGGTAGATCATTTTTTAGCAAAGCAAAACCCACACGGTTAGACAAGAGATTAAACGTTTGCAGGGTGGCAAGGGAAGATACCTGTGATATGTACCTTTGGATCATCTGGTGGATCAAACTGGATGATCCAATCTACTTCTGGAATATCCAGACCTCTAGCAGCTACATCTGTACATAATAATATGCATTCTTTTGTATTACAAAACTTGAAAAATGTGTTGGTTCTTTTGTCCTGTGCTTGTTTTCCCTGTAACAAGAAAAATAAAACTAATAACGAACTTAAACCCTCATATTTTAGGTCAAATAAAATTTAAACAATATTCTTCTTATAATCTAGGTAGAAAAAAAATATATATATATATTTGAAGGCCTACAAGTTCTACAACCTTTTAGTTGTAAACCCTAATCCCTTTGAATGGAAGGGATATAAAGTTTGACTTTATAGTAAAACAAGTATCATTTAGTGAGTTCAACAGAAGGTCAAATGATATCAAAATTATAACAATAAACATGTTCGGAATTAATTACTTAAAACTATACTTACATGTATACTTAAAACTGGTAGATCAATATAATTGAGAAGTTCATAATGAAATTTAACGGACATACAAGAACTAAAAAACACCATAATTTTCTTCTTTCTATTCTTCTTTAAAAATGTGAACAAAAGCAGAAATCTTTTATCTGACGGACAAATAACATAACCCTGGAATGTAATAAAAAAAATCTTTAATGCACAGTGCCTACCAATATCTGATTTCTGGGCAATTTTTCATTGTACAAAACTCCAAGTTAGAACATTATGAATAAACCTAAATGTATAGTCAAATCAAATAGAATGAGTTGATTGAAAAGTATAGGGAAACGAATACTGTAACTATGGTTAACTGGAATAATAGAAATTTTTATTTCAAGATGTGCCATTTTTATTTTTGTATTCTTTTAGAATTACCTTATAGAAGAGGGACAACAGTATATTCCATTGTTTTTTCCAATTCTATACTTTCATCATTGAATTCAATGGACGTACATAGGACAAAGTTTTGGCATTTTTAGCCATGGAGAACCATGACACCAGACTACATTGTAATATATTAAAGTAATTATATAAACCTGTTGTAAGCCATCTACAGTAGCCTCTTCTCTAGTATCATCAACACCAACATATAATGGTTCTTTCTTTAATGATATTCTCGCTAAATCTTCTGTTCTTCTAGTTGGGGTGGCAGAAAACAACATCGTTTGACGACGTTCTGAAAATATATCAAAGAACGATATTTATGTATAATCTGGTAACCCTCACAGCTGGTTTTACCAACTTTTCCATTTTTCCCCAACAGTGATGAAATATTCAGAATTATTATTTCTAATAATCATGAACTAAAATTCTGAAGTAATTCTAGCTATAATGTCTCTAGTCAATTAGATGCAGAATGGGTTATTCTGGAAAACTGTACATGCACTTGCTTTATGAACAAGATATGAATGACTGGTCTGATGAATAGTATATTCATAATATAAATGAACCAGACTGGTTGAATTCAAAAATTAAATATAGCCACAACTTACTTGGTAATAATTTAATAATTGATCTCATTTCTTCTTCAAAACCCATATCAAGTATTCTATCAGCTTCATCTATTATTAAACATTGTAAATTCTTATACATAAAATCTGGTGTATTCTGCAAAAAATAACAAAGTATAAATAAGTACCACAAATAATTAAATATAATGCATATATACTCATTCTTTCTGTCAATTTCTACAGAAAAATATCCGTATAACTGGACTATATAGAGGATATTTGTCGTTTTAGAGTGAATAACATATTTTATTTCATCGAGAAGCAAAAAAACTTATATTTTCACGAATGCGTAGCATGAGTGAAAATATAAACGTTTTCTTGCTTAGAGATGAAATAAAATATGTTATTCACGACAAAACGACAAATGTTCTATTTATTTTATGATTTTACAATCATTTTAGGTAAAAACAACATGGACTACTTTAATAACACTTTTATTTCACTGATAAAACGCGGTATTCCACTACTGATCATAAAATAAAGTATAGTATAGTCCCATCTGGAAACTTTAAATTTGATGTTTATGGTCATCCTGCGACAAAATAAAAACCAAAAACAAAACCCTCCTTTCGACATCAGATTTTTTGAAAGATTGTATGACCTTTCTTAAAATATAATACCAGTATTTGGCATCCATGGCAGGTTTATATTAATTTAGTAAATGAACTGGAAATCATATAAAGACAAATTTTTTACCAAATTTCGTAATATCAATACCCCACAAATAGTTGAGTTAGGATGACTCCATAAGCTAAAATATACATCATATGTACCTGTAAGTGATCAAGCAGTCGTCCAGGTGTAGCCACAAGTATGTTGATTCCTTTACCAAGTTTTTTAGCTTCTTCTTTTCTATTTGCACCACCTATGACTAAACCGTATGTTTGATAATGATATTTTAATAGTTCTTTTAAAACACCAAATGTTTGCATACTTAATTCTCTTGTTGGTGATATTATAATACACCCTGTACCATTACGTGGCATAAATTTAAGTTTATGTAAGAGTTCTACAGCAGGTATAAGAAATGCTAATGTTTTTCCACTTCCAGTTCTTGCGGCTCCCATTAAATCTCTAAAAGTAAAACAAAATACTACATGTTGTTATGTACAAATCAATGTAATTTTTAGATTTTACTGGCCTATTTAAATTGATTGCTCTTGACTGAGGAACAAATATTCAAAAGCAGTTTTACTGATCAAGCTTATTATACACAGGAGTACTTCCTACTTCTATCATGACTATAAAAGTCGATCGCTTGAAATGCCTGAGTTTTTACCAGCTCATATAATTATAGATTTTCCCGATCGACCTAACCATAAAAATATATCAGTAATTACCTTCCTTCCAGTAACTGAGGTATACTTTTTGCTTGTATATCTGTCATTTGCGTGAAACCCATATCTGCTACACCTTTTAATGATTCCTCCGATACTGATTCAGCTAAAGCACTAAATGACTGATCAGATAATATTCTAGCTCCAACACTACTGCCTGGTACTGTAAATATATAAACAGAATAAACCCACATCTTAATTTTGTAATATTTTCATTATACTGCCTACATTGTTGAACCAATCATAACTTGGGACAGGAATTTGCAGCAAGTATGGCAGTGCTTGAGTGGGATAAGGTCTAATCAAACGAAACACTGCAAGGAGTATGGGTGTCAAGCCATTGGCAGAAGACTTTCTTATTCAACCTCAACTGTAATTGGTTCTTGCAAGGATAGTGCTAAGGGGAGGTAAGCCTGTTCTAGTCATAAGTGTTTTGAACCCTTGTAAACTTGATTAAGAGCAGTCAATTTAAATCGGCCAGTAAAGTCTAATAAACAAGAAATAAATGCATCATGAAACTAAAATGACCTGGTGTAGGCTTCAGTTTATTGCAATATCCAATCACTACCAGTAATGGCCTCTAAATGATCATAGTAAAATTAGCATACGATATAGCCACAACCAATCAATGAGTTATAAACTGTACTCTGCTCCATACTCTATTTGTGTACATAACATAAAAGAAATGGGTATTGAAATTAAATCGACCCTTTCTTCTTTTACAGCACAGAGATATTTTGTATTCAGATGATTTGGTATGTAACAATGTGGAGAATATAGTGATTCAACTGTCAATAGCAGTACCTTGATGCAAAGGAATAAAAAAATATTTCAATTCAAAATCATGATTTCGATTTATAAATTTTGTTTTAAATTACTTACATTCACTTTCTTCCACACCATCTATTTTTTCATTATCTGCATCTAATTTTTCTTTTTTCTGATCTGGTTCTGAAATAAAATCATGCACTGTATTAACATTTTGTTATATACCAATCAATCAAACATTAATGGTCATTTAAAGTTGACTATATGCAGCAAACAAATGCCAATTGCAACTACAGAAAAGATAACTTCATAATCTCATGCCACTGGTATGCAAAGCATAGCTACCCAAATGGCAACAAAAAAAGAAAATGGTGTTTGTGATTTAGATGTTTTGGTTCGCCTGATCTTAAATCACACCAATAACAGTGCTATAAAGGTGGAACCGGAAGTTTTACAAAGAATTGAATTTTACCGTCTACTGTGTCAGGTAGAGATTTTCTCTTCTTTTTCCCTTTGAGTTTTTCTTCATTTTCATCTACAGCCAACCCTTCATCTACAAATTTACATTAATTAGAAATAGTTACATGTAGCATACACATTCATTAAATAAACAAAAAAAATCTTCCAAATCATTTTTGATTCTGTATTTTATGTTTTACTGCACTCAATATTACTTAACATCTGACACTTTTTTGTCATTGTGTAGTGTTCCATTTGTGCACTGTAAACAGTCATTGGTAAAAAAAACTCTCAGGCTAACATTAGCCATAAGAACAACAGATGTTCCATACGAGAGAGAGAGAGAGAGAGAAATGGGGTTTAACGTCCACTCGACACAAACTAGATCATTTCGGGACTAACATATGGTTTAATTTTATTTCAATAATTCGCTTGTGCGTAGGGGTCTTTAGCAGTGGGAGGAAACTCCTTGTCACGTACAACCGGGGATTCGAAACCACGCCAGTCGACTCAATGACAGACTTTATGATACAGCGCGCGCACGCTAACCATTCAACCCCCCCCCCCCCGTGTTCCATATGTATAGTGTAGAAAATCAGAACCGAAAAGACAAAATGAAATAAAAATTATTTTTAAATGATGGCAAATAACATGCAACATGTATCATTGTTCATTATAAACAAAAAACTATACACACTAAATTCTTATTTAAATCAACTTACCATTCCCGTTTATTTCTTCTTCCTCAATCAACTTCTTCAGTTCAGTCTTCATTTTCTTGTATTTTTTCTTTCCTGAAGAAAAATGATTTTCCATATGAGTAAAAAAGGTGCCCACTGTCAACGTAACTCAACAGTCTTGTGTAGACTACATGTCAAAGAAGCATACAATTATCACTCTCACAAAGAAATCCTAAGGCCTATAGCTAATTTTAACAATATCATATTTATAACCTACGGTAATTTGAAAGACTCACCTAAATATTATTATTTAGGTTAGTTTGACTACAATAAAAGGTCATGTTGAGCATCATGACAGATGTGATTATAAGAAAAAAACAATCCACACATTCGGAAGTTGTTATTGTGGGTCGCAATATTGTTACTGTATGTGCAACTGAGTTATTGACACCGAGAGCAGCCTTCTCAGTCCTAGGCCTATGGGACATTTTCAGAAGGTGATTGATAGTTTTCAACTCCACTTGATCGGAGTTGCTTCGGAATAGGAAAAAGTGTTTTGAGAGATTTCCACACAGAATTATCCAGTTCTCAGTTTTATTCAATGTAATATAGAGCGAAGCTCTGAACCATGTAAGAGAGAGAGAGAAAGTGGGAGAGAGAGTTTAACAGCTACTTGACACAAACTAGGTCATTTTTGGACTAACATATGGTGCAATTTTATTTCAATCATTCGCTTGCGCATAGGGGTCTTTAGCAGTGAGAGTTTTGGGTATTCGAAGGAATTATTAGTGAGCAGAAATTCGCCCGTGTATCTGTTATCACTCATCACTTCAGTCAGTATAGAAATAGAAGGATAACTTGTGTTTTCCTTTTGCGCTTGTCACTTCCCTTTGTTGAAAGCTTCACAGCACATCTATCGTAGCAATGATCTCTGTATTAAAATTATATTTGGTATGTGTTTAACCAATTCTATCACATATGTGATACTGACTGACACCAATATTATCCTTTAAAGGAGCTAAATCGCTAATATTTGGGACCTAGAAATTGACACAAGTGGGTCGCAACTCATATAATACCGTAATATGAATGTATATAAACCGATTTACATTCAATCGTTTCCGTTTTTACTCTAATTTCAAATCAGTTATGTTCCGTGAAATAAGCCAGCAGTCTCAATCGAGTGTAAATTCCTAGCGTCTGGTTATTCCAGTCTACATAAGCCGTTTGGTTTGGTGCAATATGTCTAGCACCGTTCTTCTAGTCTCTTGCTAGAACTGGGGCTGAAACGCATTATGGTAAAATATCGGTACATAATAGTCTGATTTGACCGTAAGAAAATCTTTGGGGAAATCCTATCACGAGGAGTCAATGCACACCGCGACTGTAACGGTGTGAGTTGACTCCTACAACTGCGCATGCGCCAAACGGTAATCACACACCAGGAACCATCTGAAACTGCCACACCGGTAAGATCACAGCATCAATGTTGTTTTAAATTGACAAATAATTTGTGTTTTAAATGTTGAAGATTTTGGATGATATTGAGTTAGAGACTTAGCTCCTTTAACCTTTAGTTTAACAGTACTGAATGTTCGTATATGACATTACTACTCACCACAATCACAGACATACCTTCACCAACCTATGTATAATCGAAAAACTAGACATAAATCCAATAAATATTTATTTACCTTCGTTGTCGAGTTCGCCAGATTTCAGCAATTTAAGCACGGCTTTTAATTTCTGTTCATTTGTTTTCTGAGAATCTAATATTTCGTCTGGTTCCATGTTGTTTTCTATTTTCCCATAACACGTGCTTCCGCTTTTTGTCATCAAAAACTCAGCACGCAGAAGAGTCTTATGGAACGAATATTATACATTTCAAAGCACAAAAAAGAAGTTTTCAATAAAAGCCATCATTAAATATATTCTTTTAATAAAACTACTATAAAGGGTTAATAATAAATCACTGTATCAATAAAACAAACTCCAAATTTTAACTATTTCGTTTCGGTGTGCAATAGGTAGCTGGACGATCGAGACGGGATTCCGTAACTACAGCGTCAAAATGGCTGACTTAGACGAAGGTTTGATTTGTAAAATTCCAATTCTCCAGATTTTTTATGAAAAATGGTTATGTTTATGAGATAAAACAAACAAGAAATTGGGTCATATAATTTTAGCAACCAACAACTAAGAAAACGAAAAATTATAGATTTATACTATACCGAGTTACATCGACCAATTATTTTAGCCATTCGATTATTTTAATATCATAACATAATGAATATTATCCAAATTATTCTTAATCTTATTATTATAATATGTAACAGGCATTGCCTGAGTAGAGCAAAGCTGATTATTGTCAAATATAAAACCTTCATAATTAATTTTCTCAAGTGATACAAAAAAAGTTAAATAATTTAGTTTTTCCAAATTGATTTTCATTTAGATCTAAATTGTATACATTAATTTTGTTTTTTAAAAAAGAACAAAAAAGTGTGAGAATTATTTTCATTGACGTCAAAAATATGTGACGTCATTGATTAGACGCGTCATAGAAATAGTTCTATGAGGCGCGTAATCTCGCTTGGGCGAGATTTGGTAAGTTGACATGCGCATTGCCTGTTTTGCCCAGTGTATCCGGTTCCGGTCTGAATTTTTTTTTAATCAACAGTCTGTGGGTGACAATTTCAGTTACGCTCCTGTGTTACCGGAAAAGAGCTTTGCTCAAGCACCGCGCTTCGCACGATGCTGTAGAGCTTTGCTCTATATTAATTTATATCACCATATGGTGGGAGCTGAGGTGGCTCAGTGAGTAAGATGTCTCGCTAACTTGGATGTCCCATGTTCGATCCTGTTGTTTATCGGGATTTGACAGTGGTGCAGGAAAGAGGGCTTATATTTGGCAGGGACAACGTAGGTCTATACTTTATACTATAGTCATGCGGATGGGATGAAAAACCGTAAAATAACCCTTGGCAGTTGAAATTAGGTAAAAGTGAGCTGCAGTGACACTGTCCAGGAAAAATTTCTCTCACAGCACACTGTTTGGTGTTAGAGCTTATCAGCTGAACAGTAGGACATTAAACCCCATTTCATTTCTTTATAATTATGTTCTTTCATTTTGTAGAGTGCACTTGCTGATTGTGCAATATTGACAATTTGCTATCTATTCTAACATAGGACTGACAATTTGACATCTTATTATAATAGGTCTGTAGGATATGATTTTCTGGTGAATTATGGCAAGACAAATACAAGTGACTTGCCAGTTTTTAAAAGGATTTGATAATTTAACGTATGATTGGCTGATATAAGTAAGTGTACTTTAGTGCTGGCACGATATATCATTATCAATGTATTGCGATTCACCTCACGATTCACGTATTGAATTGCGAGACACTGAATCGATGTATCATGATTCTTTTTGTCGCTTCAATAAGTAACCTATCACTCTTATTTATCCATGTCACACATTATCCATAGGTAGGGCCTACACAAACATTCTTAAATTGTTTTGGTCCTTGTTTTGATCCACATCAATAATCAATATCATGATATAAAACAGTTTTATTTTTTCGACATCAACAGGACTAAATAAATCAATTATTCATTTATCCTGTTGTTTTCTTGGTAAATATTGACCTGGATATCAATTTGAATCATGATACATACATTTGTATCGCAGTATCATTACTGCAGTGGCAATACCCAGCACTACTCTTAATTAATTCAGCCACGGTGGTATCCTTTAGTTGTGTCAAAATAATGCTGTGAAGGGATGGGTATAATATGTAAATCTAATTAAAAACTTAGATTACAATTTTGTTTCGTTTATTTTTCTGATATTCACACTATGGTAGGCCTACTTTCAATCACTGTTCAGTGATTAAAGGACAATATTGGTGCCAGTCATTATCACATATAATATTTGGAACGTGTTTAACCAGTTATATCACATATGTGATAATGACTGGCACCAATATTGTCCTTTAATCACTGAACAGTGATTGAAAGTAGGCCTACCATAGTGTGAATATCAGAAAAATAAACGAAACAAAATTGTAATCTAAGTTTTTAATTAGATTGACATATTATACACATCCCTTCACAGCATTTATTTTGACACAACTAAAGGATACCACCGTGGCTGAATTAATTAGAGCAATAATGAATTAGGTATTTGTATTAAATTATAATGTCATTCATTACAGATATTCCACCTCTTGAAGATATGACCACTGTCTTGCAGCAAGTTCAAGCATTAAAATTGGAAAATCGATCCAGTAATATTATAAGTTCATCAAACACAAATGAGAAAAGAACAGAAAGTGTAAGTAAATGGGTAGATTGCTTACACTGATAATAAGCACATTATGCAGAGAAAGTGTAATATTTGGCATTACGCTAGCCTACCGCAAGGAATGAATCGTCTAAGTTTCATCTAAATTGTGTACAGTGAAAAATCTTAAAAAAAAACCTTTGAATTTTGCTGTTTTGATCAATCACAGAACCAGGCTCGCTTTTTTAACAGAAAATCAGATTTTTGTCAGGTAAAAAATAAACTCAAATTATTCTGGTAGAAAATAAACTCAAATTTTTAAAGATGTAGTATTTTATTTAAACTGATTCATAAAGGAATAATGTACTGCCATCTATACCTGAATTCATTACTACTGTGTTTTTTTCTTACCAGACAAGCTGTAAAAGTACAAATGCTGTACATTGACTGTATATGTAGATGAATTTTTACAGGTTACTCCTAAAAGTGCACAACATATTATATCACCTGTTGCAAATAGTAAAGCTACAGATAAATCTGCAGTAAATAAGCAGAATGAGAAAAAAACACAATCATTTGGTGGAATGAAGAAAGGATTTTTATTTGGTTCTTCAAGTAACACACAGAAAAAGAATAGTAAACCAGCGTCAAACACAGATGATATTCCCTTTGTGAAGTCAAAACAACCAGAAAAACCTGATTTAAATCTATGCGAAGTACAAGAGGCTATGAAAGCTAGTGAAAACATATTTCAAAACCGAGGTAATACTTTAGTAGAAAATGTATTACATGCTTTCTTGTGAATCAAGAAGCTATAAACTGTTGCTAATATTTCATAATTTCTTCTCGCTTCAAAAAGTAATCATGTACGGTAACTCTTTTTATTTCTGCAAAACGTGTTCTTTGTTACTAAACTGTTGCATGATTTAAGTTGTACATTTCGTTAAGGTCATCTGCAGTTGGTGACATAGGTTGTATTCCAGTTTATTTCCTTTGGTTGTACATTACACATGCGCTATGAATATTGCTGTTTGCAATAACAGGGATGGATGGTTTTTATAGATAATAATGTTATTGCCAGGAAGTCTGTTTTGTCGTCCTATAAATATCAATTATTTGTAGACATCCAAATCCAAATTTCTGCTAGATATTATTATGATTTTCAATTAGATATTTCATTTTGGTCAGAAAACAGGAAAGCATTATAATTGCTCCAAGATAGAGGATTTTTTTGATAGTTATGTCAAAATAAAAAGGTATTTTAAATTTTATTTAAATTTTAATGTTTCGATAGAATGGGTAACAGACGATCTCTTGAAGAAAGTGGAGAAAAATGAAACAGTTTTCAGCAAATTATCAAATCCAGAATTTGCTAAAGCAATCACTGAATTTCAAACCAATCCTCAGGCTGCTATGATGAAATATGCCAATAACTCTGAAATGCAAAATTTTCTCAAAGAATTTTGTGGAATAATGGGTAAGATTTTAAAAATGTATATTAAAGATACATTATGGGAGATTCGATAGCAAGTTGGCAGTTCTCACTATAATAATTAGAAATTAGATAACGTTAAGGCAATTTGCTGACAATTTCATTCAAATTGATCCACTATGAACCGAGAACTAAGCGAATGAAATTTCTGACTAACCTCGGTCATCATTACTAAAGTCAGTACTTTAAACAGCATAGTCTTGATTATCCATTTAATCGTTTAATCAAGAAGGAAAGTTATGCAATAAATCGGATCACAATCCACTTAAGATCGTAGGCTAGTGATGCCATCTAGAGTTGATTATGGTCTGGATAAGTTAATTAATGTCCAATTAATAATTTACATAACATTTCAGGCCTAAAGAAAGACCTGCAATAGACAGATTTAGCTCTTGCATAATGTATGTTTAATAGAAGATGTATTTGTTGTTTATGTATGATACATGTATAACAACATATAAAATACAAAGCTGTGACAGATTAACTTCTTCCTAGAGCCTCAACTACATGCAGATATGACCAGTTATAGTGGGAGGTCATGTCAGGTGTCATACAAGTGGCATTTGACCCTATGACATCAGACTTTTGATTTACTAATCAGTGTTGATATTTCTAATGGAATACCCACAGTTCCATGCACCATTGGTTAATCCCTCACGTCAACCATATAACATCCCTTCCAGATCCTAGTGTAGTAAAGACATGTAAAACGGAATTTTTAATTATAAAAAACAAAACGAAATAGGATCTGTGTTTTAATCAGATTCTGACAGATTGGATGTCAGTCATACTGTTGGGCATAGTTGGGGTAGGACGGAAGCAATCCTCAGAAATAATTCATAGCTATCATAGGTAGTAATCCCCAAGCAAAAAACAACAGCAAAGACAGTATACAACCAGTTGGTAAAGAGCTACTGCCCGAAAAACATCCTACATTAAATTTTTACATTTTGTATTTTATCAACTTTGTTGCTTTGTGATTACTATGTGTATATCAAAAAATAATGTAAATGGAATATCATATCTTTGAAAATTTGTATTTTGATTAAAATAATGCTTTATTGCAGGAGATCATTTTTCAAGTTTTTCTGAAAAACAGGGTAATGGTGTAACTTCGGGAAGTAATATGATTCCTTCCATTAGAACAAAAGAAACATTACCAGAAAATGAAATACAACTATCCCAAATTTCCCCACAAATTTCTAATGAGGATGAAAACAAAATACAAGATATATTAAGCTCTCCACATATAAGACAAGTATTAATGGATGAGCAGATTCAAAAATTATTTCAAATTCTAAAAACAAATCCTCAAGCAGGAGAAAGGTTGGTATTTAATACAAAATTTTAAAACTGATATACACTAACCGTGAAGGCAACAGTCACATGTTTGACTCAAATGGAAAGGAAATTTTAGACACATTGCTTATTTTTTTATGAAAGTGTAATGCAGGACTTTGCACTTCAGTACACTAACTTATAAAAAGTACAGTTATCTTTTAGATTTTGTTTTGTGTGTAGTGCTGTCCTCCTGCACTTTCTACATAGGTCAGGTAATTTCAATAGAGGAGATCATTTAAAGTTATAATACTCTTTATGATAATAAAGTCATATATCGCTCCTCCAAAACTTAAATATATCGGAAAAGATATTTTTAATGAAAGGGGTAACTCAAAATAAGAAGACAAGAATTAAGCAACAATGGTAATCCCTACTACTTATAACTTGAGTTTTGACATATGTATGTGTGAATTCCTGCTCATGGAGACTGCATAATTGTAGTAATTAAAACTTGAACTGTCATTCACCCATTTGTTCAGCATGCATGTATGCAAGTGACATTTTTTTGATTTGTAGTACTATGGTTACTCCCTTCCACCCAATATCTTATTTGAAATGAATGTAATAAAAAATAGGACTTACAATTTGTGAGATTTCGTGAAGGATTTACCACCATTGCTGGTTGAATAATTGGGACTTCTGCTGTAAGTGTTAAGGGAATACATTTTAATTGGTACATTTTTAATTTGTACATTTTTAATTTGTACATTTTTAATTTGCACAATGATATTATTTTATCTTATTTGAGATAACAGTAAAACCACCAGTGACAATATTATGTTTCTTTTACAGGTTATTAAAAGAAGCCAGTGGAGATATGGAAGAGAAGATAAAAATATTAGTTGATGCTGGACTACTTCAAGTGCAACAAAGATGATATTTACCGGTACTAATGACCTAAATATTGATAGACACCAAATCTACCAGAGAATTGAACTATACAGATATACTTTGGGTTTACAGTGTGACAATGTGAAAATAAACTAGTTTACATCTTTCAAAATACAGATATGTATAACCAGAATGGATAATATTGTGTGGACTGACAAATTATGTAAGATACATGATGATTGCAAAGGCTGATGATATGACTGTTTATATGTATAATATAATTATTTTGTAATTATTTATTTTTATCACAGAGAACTATGACTCTCAAAATTGAGATGGCTTGTTGTACCAAGAATTTAATTTTATACATTTGTATTAAAATGTGACAATAATCTGTCATGAAAACAACCCATATCATGCAGTTTTGTTCCAATGGCCTTCCCAGGAAAATGATTTTTATACGCCCACAATTGTCTGGTTAACGCGATAGAGACTACAGTTTTTAACAGATTTTCTTCAAATTGGTGTAAAGCATTGGGGTAATGGGTGAACAGACCCTTTCAATTTTCAGCGCCCCCCCCCCCCCAACCTGCTTAGGCGTTACCATCTCCCTTTTCCAAAAACTTTGTTAAAGCTATAGAGGCTATGTTAACAGATTTATTTAAAATTAGATGTAAAGCATTAGTACTGTATCTAGCAAGAGCATTAACCCTATTGATTTTCAAATTTGGTGTGAAGGACTTTCATCATTCCAAATATATATGTCCAGAAAAGTTTTTGAACATGACAGAGAATAGATTTTTGTGGGTATAATGAATCCTTGTCACATTTGGTCATCATCCAAGTTTTCCTTTGGAATAGCTCCTGTCTATAGCTGTTGTGTGAGCTTGATTTCATGCTTTGCGTGGCTAGCTTTGAATTTCACATTTATTTCCAAATGACACCCTTTAAAACTTGAATAGCCTATATTTTGGAAAATTTAAGTCACTTAGTTGAACTAAGAGTTAGTTGGTATATGGTGGTCCATGAGCTCTTAAACTTTTGTCTGCACTAGTTTGAGGTCTGATGTCAGGGGTCAAATGTCAAATTTTCTCATATTCACCTAAGACAGCTGGGACCAACGCCAATCATTCTGAGATCATTTCCAGCAAACTAAGCTCCATCGGCCTGTATGTCTTACTTTGGACTAATTCATACTCTGCCTGGCCAGCTTACAATGGATCAATTCATTACTGACATTTGATTTTTGCCTTTTGTGGCTAGGTTTCACTATAAACAAAAGTTGTTATGGCCTCCATGGGTTGCTGTTTCATTTTCTTGTCCTAAATGTACTACCTACAATCATGCCAAAATCAAATTCTGCTGCATTATATCTCTTCCAGTCAAGTGACGCAATGAAAATGCACCACAGTGGTGCATTTTCATTGCGTCACAGTGTATAAATCCAGCTCTCACCTTTACATTAATTATTGTTTGGGATGAATGAATGTAATTTTGTAAAGTTCACTGCCTGGTAAGAAAACGGTCCAATTCATAGGGACCGTGTGTGAAAGAAAGTCCCAGGACTATGGAAGGATAACGTTGCCAATATTATTTCAATGTTCACTGTACAAACTGTCAGCAGTTCAAAATACATATTTTAGTTTTACAATTTGCAATTTCCATTGCTCCACAACATCAATGTTACAGAATACACTTTTCAATAACCCAAATACAGTATAATAGTTATTTTGCACATTACACTTCTCCATTCCGCATTTTGCATAATAGACAAATGCATAATAGAACTTAGCATATTAGAACATATACCTAATTTATCTGACGGCCCCATTTCACTCGCAAAGAGACACATCGTCAAAAGTGAAAATGGACGTTTTTGATTTTTGTCTTAAAGGACAATATTGGTGCCAGTCATTATCACATATGTGATAGAGCTGGTTAAACACATTCCAAATATAATTTTAACACAGGAGATCATTGCTACGATAGCTGAGTAATACAGGTTTCCTGAATCGGAAGTGACGAACGCCAAAGGAAAACACGAGTCATACCTCTATAACTGACTGATGTGACACCAATATTGTCCTTTAATAATGAGTAATTGCTCCACCAATCCTCAGACATTCAGCAATTCGTCGTGGCATGCTCCTAATCAACCGTTCTAATCACGATTTGGGGCAATCTGACCCACCCCTCTTGCAGTGTCACAGCCAATTCTTGTAGTGTTGTCCGTTGACGAACAAGTCTCCCGATCAAATTAAACATAACACACTAAAGCAAAGATACACTAAATCTTATGCAAGAACCGATAGGAAAGCAAACATGGATAGGATAAACCAGCAAGCGGCAGTTTTCATCAACCCTTCCTTGAAGTGTCAAATTTGACAATGAACCCCTCCCACGTGTATGGCGCTATTGCGTGTCGCATGTGCAGCTCAGTGGTTCTGTTGGGGCGATAAGTTCTTCATCTGTGAACATACTCTCAAAGCATGTCAAGTGTCCATGACTATTTATCATATGACAACCTGCATAGGTATTTGCATTTCAATATCCCCTACTTTTTTTGGAAGAGTATATTATGGGATCTACGACGAAGCTCATTTGCAGTCTGGAATAGGATGGAAATTAATAATTTACGCGATCAATCTACAAGGTCAATGAGCATAGATCAAAATCACCATACAATAAGTCGGCTTACCATGCAATAAGAGCGAATCAAGCTAGCATGCAATAAGGAATCGTGTGTCGGTATGGCTAATCTGAGACTTCGATTAGCCCAAATTTTTACTTCATACCCCCCCCCCCCTTCACTTCAACATTAATTTTTTTATCCTTTTTTCAAAGTGGAGAGCCAGGGTGGCTAAGTGGGTAAGTCGCTGGCAAGCTAGCCTGTTGTAGGTTGCATGTTCAATCCCTGCACTGGCCGAGAAAGTATATCAGGATTTTCCGATGTGGTTTCACCTTGTCAGTGGTGCAGGAAAGAGGGCAGCTGACTAGTCAAAAAAGTATAAACTGAAAATTGGTTCATTTTGGTTCATAATGAGGTAGACCTAATCTTTGAGGTATAAATGAAGGAAAATAATTGCGACGAAAAACCGAGGTCCCGTGCATACATTGTCGTGCACATAAATGGTCCCTTGGCAGTTGGAATTCGATTTAAGAGAAGGCCAAAATTTTGCCTGACCAAAATTTCCCTCATAGCACACTGTATGGCGTATGCTCGTCTTCATTATCCCGGTCGGAGTAGAACGTTAAACACCATTTCATTTCATTTCATTTTTTTCAAAGTATGTAAATATAAATGTGCCAGAAAATTATTTAAATTTTTGAAAAGAGAAATGAACATGCTTTTTGGTGATACGTAATTAACCTGATATAGAATTCATATTAAGACAGGTACATGTATGTTTACTTTAAATACCCCCACCCATGTCATTTAATAGAGTTTCGTACAACCCGGCTTTGATCGTTTTTTCTTTACCCTTGTCAGCGATGCAGGACGTAGGGCCTGACAAGGACAACTGTCTAATCGTTTGGATGGGTCGAAAAAACGAGGTCCCGTGTACACATTAGCGTGCACATAAAAGATCCCTTGGCAGTTGAAAATTGATACAAGAATACTGTAGGCCGTATAGCACCGCAGTCCGGGCAAATTTACCCTCATAGCACACTGAATGGCGTATGCCCGTTTTCATTAGCCTAATCGGAGCAGAAAAGTAGGACGTTAAACTCCATTTCATTGATCGTTTTCTGAAGGTCCGTAAATATGAGTACTGCCCCTTTCTACTGACTTGGACCCTGTAGATTGATCGCGTAATTTATTAATTACCATCCTGATATGTAGATCCCATATAAGGATGTTCTAATAGGCCTACGCTAAGTTCTATTATGCAAAATGCAGAATGGGGAAGTGCAATGTGCAAAATAACTATTTACTGTATTTAGTATTAATGAAGAGTGTATTCTGTATTTTAACACTGTAACATTGGTAGGCTATTGTGAAGCAATGGACATTGCAAATTGTAAAACTAAAATATGTATTTTGAACTGCTGAGATATGTATTTTGCACCGTGAATATTGAAATAATATTGGCAACGTTGTCATTCCATAACCTAAAGACAAGCTCGGTGTGGTGGTCATGGTGACAACTAGGTGACAACCAACTATCGAATCCAAATAAATATCAAGGTCAGTTGAAAAGAAAAAGTGGGATGTTCGCCTCTCAGACGAATATACCCCCCCCCCCCCTGCTCAGCCACATAAAATTTTTTGTAAAACAACCTTTTTTATGAGAAAAGTGTCATAATTGTCCTTTTTCCTTTATCGTCAGATGGTGCGACAGGATGGGCACTCAAAGCGCGAGCTAATGATATAGACATATGTGATATCACAATTAATGCTTTGCATCAATAATTAGATTGAATCACAATGTCATCGTATTAATTCATAATAAAATGTGTATGTATATACGTCAAAATGACGATAGAGACCATGTATTTCTCAAAAAATTTCAAGTCGGGGGGGGGGGGGGGGATACATTTTCTCAGGAACCTGGCAAACCCCCTCCTGCAAAAATTCCTGGATCCGCCCCTGAATATTGGTTCTCGATTGAAGATATGTAGGCTACCCCTACAACCGCAGAAAATACAATAATAATGCCCGAAAAACAAATAGTGTAATTCAATTTAACCAAATCAATTATATATGTCAAAATAGGAACAGGTACATCCAATCTGATTAAAATACAAGATCTGACAAGTTATAGTGATAGGTCACATCAGGGGTTAAAAGACCGACTTTTGACCTATGACGTCAGACATTGATGTTACTAGTGGATTACCCACAGTTCCGGGCAAAAATGGTCAAACACTCGATTCGACAGACCATTTGATTGGCTGACCCCTCATTTCCAAGTGTAGTAAAGCCAAGTAAAACGAAATTTTGAACTATAAAAACGAAACGAAATAGGATTTGTGTTTTAACCAGATTGAGGTACATCTAACAAATTCAATCATGCACTGGAATAATTTGACCAGCGGCTGCCAGGCAGGATACGCCCACATTTTGCAAGAAATGGATAGAGAACAAGCTAAAAACAAACAGGATTTTTTGTACAATCAGGGGAAATAATCCAGAAAGTTATGGTCTGAAATGCCCAAATATCAAAAGGGACTGAGATCTTTGGGATGTAAAGATATGTTTTAAGTTTCATCAAAATCGGATAAAAATTGTGACCTCTAGAGGGTCCACAACCTTTGTAGCATACTTTTACACAATTTGCGTACAAAGTGCGGCCATTTTGTCCGGCAGTTTCATTTCGATTTTCCCGAAATTCGAATTCAACCTTCATTATGGTGGAATGGTGATATATTTAAACGGTTTTTAAAATCGGAAAAAAATGTGACCTCTAAAGAATCTGCATGCTAAAAATGCGATTTTTCGAACAATCAGGAGCCATAATCGAGGAAGTTACCGTGTAACGGTGATGTATTCAAACGTTTTTTTTAAATCGAATAATAATTGTGACCTCTAGAGGGGCCACAAGCTAAAAACGCGATTTTTTGTACATTCAAAAGCCATAGTTCAGGAAGATACAATGCGATACACGCGAATATCGACAGGAACCAAGATCTTTGGGTTATAAACATGTATTTCAACTTTTATCAATATCTGATCAAAATTGGAGGGTGTAGAGCACAAGTGATCTACCAACCAACTAAAATTGTTGGTAGTTAGATCACTTGTGCTCTACACCCTCCAATTGTGACCTCTAGAGGGTCCACAACCTTAATTTACCAGATGTTTACACTATTTGCTTATGAGGTGCGGCCATTTTGTCCAGCAGTTTTGTCCCGATTTTCACGAAATTCGACGTCAACAAACATTATGGTGTAACGGTGATATATTGGAATAATAATTGTGACCTCTAGAGGGACCACAGGCTAAAAACGAGATTTTTCGTACAACCAGAGGCTATAATTCAGGAAGTTACAATTCAATATGCGCGAATATTGAAAGGAACCAAGATCTTTGGGTTATAAACTTGCATTTCAAGTTTCATCAAAATCGGATCAAAATTGTGGCCTCTAGAGGGTTCACAACTTTGATATACCAGATGTTTACACTATTTGGGTACGAGGGGCGGCCATTTTGTCTGGCAATTTTGGTCCGATTTTCATGAAACTCAACCTCAGACAAAATTACGGTGTAACGGTGATATATTTGAACGTTTTTTTTAAATCAGATAATAATTGTGATCTCAAATAATTCAGGAAGTTATGATTCGATATGCACGAATATAGACAGGATCCAAAATATTTGGGTTATAAACATGCATTTCAAATTTTATCCATCAGTTTCAGTCCGAATTTTACGAAATTCGAACTCAACCAGCCTTAGGGTGTAACGGTGATATATTCAAACGGTTTTGTAAAACGGATAAAAATTGTGACCTCTATGGGGTCCACAAGCTAAAAACGCAATTTTTCGTACAATCAGGGGCCATAATTCAGGAAGTTATTGTCCGATATGCGCGTATATCGAAAAGAACTGAGATCTGTGGGTTATAAACATGCATTTCAAGTTTCATCAAAATCAGATGAAAATTGTGACCTCCAGAGGGTCCACAACCTTGATACACAATATTTTGACACTATTTGCGAACGAGGGGCGGCCATTTTGTCCCTCAGTTTCGGTCCAATTTTTACGAAATTCGAACTCAACCATTCTTTGGGTGTAACTGTGATATATTGACACGTTTTTTTTAATCGGATAAAAATAAAATTGTGACCTCTATGGGGTCCACAAGCTAAAAACGCGATTTTCATACAATCAGGGGCCATAATTCACGAAGTTATGGTCCAATATGCGCGAATATCGAAAGGAACCGAGATCAGTGGATTATAAACATACATTTCAAGTTTAAACCAAATCGGATAAAAATTGTGACCTCTACAGTTTTCACAAGCTAAAAACGTGATTTTTCGTACAATCAGGGGCCATAATCCATGAAGTTACAGTCCGATACATGCCAATATCGAAAGGAACCGAGATCTTAGGGTTACAAACCTATATTTCAAGTTTCATTGAAATCGGATAAAAAGTAGTGCTGTAGAGTGTTCACAAACAATTGTGGACGGACGGACAGAGGCGACGACAATAATGTCCACATGAAAATGTGGGCGTGTATAAAAATCTAAGATACCGTTGAACTCCACTTTACGGTACTTTCTATTGATTTAACACTGGCGTCTGAATATAGACCAATCTATATTTAGTGTACACGTCAATGAATGAAGTCTGAGACTACTTTTATTTTTTTAACCTACATTTTCCTGCACGCATGTCAAATTTATATAGTCAGGATCAACCAGAAACATCGTTTCTTAGTAAAGGGTCTGGAAGAACGAGATTAATGTTAATTTGGACTAAAAGTGCATCCCAAACAAGCTAGCTCGAAGTATGACGTAGATGGATCGCTGCGTGCAGTATGCTAAAAGTGGAGATGAGATCATAGCAGGACCAGTAACGTTATCGCGAACGTTTTAGCGACTGATTGTAAACATAAATATATCTTTATTATATTCAGCATAAGAATTCTGATAGTGAACAGTGGGTATGCATCTTATTTCTCCATATAGTATTTATGAAATTATTACGTTATTCCCAGTGAATGGGAATGACGTATATTGATTGACACATGGTTGTATTTACAGTTACACTACGGACAGTACGGTACTTTAGTTCTACCGCGGGCTTTGTTTCCAGGATCTTATTTTATTATGAACTTCATATGTGTGGATATAGGACAAAAATGTTGCTCAATGGCATGTGATATAGTATGTGGATTCTTTAACATGCCTGTCTACTTTTCACATAAAATTTGTCATTAGGGTAACCCGAAGGGTAAGTTCACAGTGACCGCACTTCGAGTGTACGTGCGATTTGGCAGATTTTATTCTTCGCGTAATATGTGACGTATCCTCTGTGCGAGGATATTTTCGACGTTGCATACGGATTCCTATAAGATAACAAGGTGGGCTGCAGGGAAAAATCGATGCAAATTCTTTCGACAGTGAAGATACATGTACTTACATTTTTTAGAAACTTGTATAGTTATTTTTTTATAGGTGTAATTAGCCGATATTGGTTATTTTTGATTGATGACCCAATAGTTCGGCAGTAGCCTTTGTGTCAAAGCAATTTGATGACCTGGTTTGTTGCCAACGGAGAATTAAAGCAAGTTTGTTTTGCCAGAGGCGCACAAATTAATAATGTCATAATGCTAAACCTATCCATAGATAATACATGTATATATTATGAAGGTCAAGCTTAATAGGACATAGCCAATATATTGGAAGAACTGGTTCAGTAGTTATATGGCTGATACAATTAAGAAAAACTATTTAGATTATGAAAAGTAAATGAAAATACATTAATAATTTTCACGGTTTAAAAGAAAACATTATTTGTCTTTGTAAAAAAATATGTGAAAGGAACGAATGTGCCTTCGGTATCAGATAATAGCATCTATACAAATCAGCTGGGGCTGTCCTGGTTCACTTACATGTACTAGCCTATACAGACATCACAAACAAGAAAAGTTACACATCTGATCAAACGAATGGATCCCGGGGGGGGGGGGGGGGCAGCTGTAAGCGTTCACTGTGCTGTACAGTCCCGGGCCTGCAGTGATGCAGATTTCACTTAAAATGAAAAACGAATTAACAATAACGGTATGTTTCCCAAACATCGTATAATACTAGTGAGTCATGAAACATAAATATAGGCACTTTGAAGGAAAATACCTTTATGAGTAACCATACGTGAAAGTTGGTAGAAAGCCAAGTAAAAAATTAAATGGCCTAACCAATGTAGTAATCAAAAAAATAGGGGTCAAACATTATAGGCGTGCTAAAGAATCCTAGTGTATTCATTACAAAGTTAGGACATAAGTCTTTATTTTATAGAAAACATAAGATAACCTAATATCACATATATTTTTTCTATAATAAAATGACCTGATTTATTAACCTTTGGTAATATTGGACTTCGAACGGGTGTAATAAAAAAGCTTTGTCTATAGACTAACCGTTACATCGAAATAGATCAGTAAAAGGGAAGTTTGACTTGTTGAGCGTGAACTGATTTAACTTTGTAGCTGTACTTTAATCTCAGGCATACAATAATATAAATTTTTAGTTGAAGGTTAATCTCGGACATAGATATTTTATCGGCTGCCGAGAAACCTGGTGAGCCTATAGTTTAAAGTAGCTAAGTCTCTAACGCAATATCATCCAAAGTCTTTGACATTGAAAACACGAATTATTTGTCAATTTAAATCATCATTGATGTCGTGATCTTACCGAGAAAAGATGGGCTGTAAATAAACACGAATCGTGTATCATAATGCGTTTCAGCGCCATTTGCAACCAGGAACTCGAAGAACGAGGCTAGACATATTCCACAAGAGGTATATCGCCGAAAATAACTTCACTGATTTGAAATAAGAGTAAAAACGGAAATGATTGATTGTAATTATATTACATTATTACATGTGTAGCGACCCATTTGTGTGAATGGGTGGGTCCCAAATATTGAATCCAAGTCGGGAGATGGTACATATATTTTGATTTTGTTAATTAACCAATTAGCGTGCGTTAAGCCGTGAGAAATTTGATATTTTAGCGAAAATGCAAATGGCGCATCTTGTTTCCTGCAAGAACCGATGGCTCCCCCGATTAAAACCCACAGTAATAGTCCACATATAACAGCCTATTGATTTTCAACGGTTTACACGGTGTTTAAGATCAAACGACGAAGAATCCTATTGATTTTCAACGATTTCCGATAATTACGGCCATAATTATGGGTCTTGGTCACTCTAATTAATCTTGTGGGCGCTTTAGAGGCTAAAGTTAATATTCAATTAACTTTATATTTAATGCAGTGTTTAAGGTCATGAGACGAAGAAGCCTATCAATTTTCAACGATTTCCAATGATTATGGCAATCAATGTTGAATGTTTTGTGTGCTAAATGTTAGAATGAGGCAGAACTAGAAGCCAAATGGGTTGTTATTCGTAATTCGTAGTGTGTTTTAAATGTTTTCATTTCTGACAAAAGAAAAAAAAAATATGCGACAACCCTTGTTGACTCCATGGACGACTTAGCTGCCGTGGACGCACGTTTCGTTGCCTGGCAACCTATATTTATTTTATACGTCGAACATTGTAAACTTATTGTTTTATCTTTCAGAAAAAAAAAACAAGTGAAGATTGTGAATCAAAAGTGCACCGTTGAAAATGTTAACACTGAATATTATTGCCTTTACATTATTTACACTAGAATGTTATCATACCATTGGCCATCTAGCTGTCCTGTGTCGTATTCGTCTGCTTCCAAGGCGAGATCTTGTGCGAATTAGATATTATTTCCTCGTAGACGCCATGACCGTATTTGTTACAAACTTTCTGTACACGGGGAAACTAAAATGGTTGGCCACCTTACAGATAATTCAACACTTGTATTATTTTTTTACCTGGGATAAATCTTTTCTGGCAAAAAAGGTAGGCTTAGTTTACGTAGAATTTAAATAGAGAGACAGAGAAATTGGGTTTAACGTCCACACGACACAAACTAGGTCATTTCGGGACTAACATATGGTTTAATTTTATTTCAATAATTCGCTTCCGCAGTTCCGCGTAGGGGTCTTTAGCAGTGGGAGGAAACGGGAGGACCCGGAGAAAACGCACGAGGTTGGACAGGCTACCCTACTCCTTGTCACGTACAACCGGGGAATCAGAATTTAAATATATTTGGCCTTATGAATGTTTGCTGCTGGTTTGGATCCCATTACCCTCACGCTGTCGGCAGTCAGTAGCAATGGTTACGACAGTTACACTTCATTTTCTAAACTAAAGTTTAAATAACATCGAACTCCCTTAAATATCAGTTTTCCTTCCCACTGCCCCATTGCCGCCATCAATTTTGTTTCATCAAATTGCTTGCTATCTTTACTTGCCTCCAATTTGCCAGTAGAATCTCAGTTTTAGTTTCAATGCATTATGCCCCAAAAGAATTCTACAGCAACGTACACATCTAAAAGGGGATTAAATGGTCCAAGGCACGGCTTATGATATTGGTAATAGATAAAGTCGAAAATTTAATTATTTCTTTCTCCCTTTTCAGATTATTGATTGGAGTTCTCTAGACTGGTTTAGCAGCTATAAGAAGGGAAATTTGGAATTAGATTCTATTTTGGGAACTGCTTTTGACATTGCAGTACACACTATCAATGCTTTCATTCTGGCGCAATATTTGTCAATAACAGAGACCATTGTTGCTGTATTGATAGCCCAGGGTGGTTCTTACTGTTTATTGTTTAGTTCAAAATTTGCTTGGAGTAATCCTAACCACATGCCGAAATGGGTACACAAGAGAATTAATCCCATTAACCCAATATCGGGTTAGGAGGTCATGGTAAATAAGTAATTTAAATATTATAAACATTCCGGTGTGGTGGAGATTTCTAGTTATCGACACATTAAAAGGGCATTAGGTAAAATCAGATAAAGACCTGACAGTTCTAATGAAAAGGGAATATGTTGAAAATTTCAGTCAAATTTAAATCTAATTAATATCTGAGCCATTCGATGGCATTGAGAGGTGATTAATAATTATATAACATATAAGGCCCAGAGAAGGGTCTTCATTAGGCAGATTTAGCTCTTGCATAATGCCCCTTTAAATGAAATTAAATAATCAAACAACGACGTCATCTGTGATATAGCCATAGGCCTATTAAAAACTTGGTAGTTGAATATTAACCATAATTCACACGACACGTTGTGTTGTGGATAAACAGCTCAGATCAAACGTATTTCTACCTGTGATTTTATCGAAAATTCGATCCAAAAATAAATCTCAAAATAATGTACATATGCTAATGAATTTGATTGGTCATTTAAAAAGAACTACTTTTTCTAATTTTCAAAGAACAGTTCATTTTTTTTATCAAAAGTAACTTCTTTTTTTTTTATTAAAAATGAACTATTTTTATTTAATTGACCTTGATGGAAACACTGGGTCAATATAAAGGGCTTTGCAATGGTTGAATTGCTGTCAAAAAATGATGTGTTTAATTATGTTCTCCTGATTTTGATTGTTTCTGTGTGTTTGAAGTATATGTTTGTGATATGCGCTTAGAAACACTTCACGTGTAATGAAGCGCTATATAAATCGAACAATAATAATGTATCACTACGCCGTAATGTAATCAGGTTCAGTAAAAGTCAAATCCTACATTTATTTGTGCATGTAAGAAAGGATTGGGTGATAAATAAAATCTCCTTCTCGTCTTTTTGATACCAAAAAATATCAACACTCGTTGTTGATATCAAAAAAATACGCTTAGGAGATTATCTGTATATTGACAATATACTAATATCCAGTGAAAACACATCACTGATTTGACTGAAGGGATGTCGAGGTGTAGGGAAGCTGAAATGTGATTTTTGGCATGATAGTAGGATTGATACATGAAAATAAACGTCAACCCATACATGCAACATCGTCGCGTGAAAGAGTTAAGTCTCTGAATAGATTATCCTTCTCCATTCTCCTCCCAATCGGTACAGTGTTTATGTGTCACCTTGGCATATCATTGCGTCTTTAACCGATCTGATTTTCAATATACATGTAGCTATTTGTCGAATTCGGTATCGATCGGTTGTGCGTTTACACTATCGTGAAACAGCAATCGTCGTGATCCGATGTTGTTACATTAAGAATTGCAAGATTAAAGTATGCCTTTCAAACGAGATTGACAATCATCAATTAATTTTAGTCGTGCGTTTCCATTGCATCTTGGTATATATTTAAACATTTACTGAATCATCCCGTTTCTCAGGTTGGGGACGCCATATTGCTGATTGACCATGAGAGAGCAAACTCTATGTTTATCTCACGGATACCCGCAGATGAAATATGGCGGGTTTCCGGCGATGGGAAATCGAGCTGACGTGGACAAATAACCCTATCGTGAAAACCAAAGATAATTGACTAGTTGCTATTACCTACCTGTATATAATAATAGATTATTTTTCAATGTTATTTATTCACTTTGCTTTGATCTTTCAATGCAATATTTTAATGCAATTTTAGTATTATTTGTTTTCGTTTGCCTTTTTACCTATTAAAGAATAGAAACTAGATATCTTTTTTAATTACTTTATTACATCTACTACAAAATCATGCTTCATAAGACATAGTCAGCCGTCAGAGTCAATAAGTATTCCTTGATAAATTACGGTAGTTTCCGTTGTATTTGATAATGTAAAACGACCTACAGCGAAAAGCAATACTGTGATATCTGTACGATGGAGGTTACAGAATCTAACAGTTGTTGCGCTTGTCCGAATTCTATGTAGTGCTGTCAGGGTATATTTTGCTACAATTTCAAACTGAATTCTAATTATGGTATGGCAGGTCGTGACAAATCCTACATTCCATAGATTGGGGGGGGGGGGGGGTTATATCGGTGTAACGACACAAAACAATGGAGATTGAGTAGATGAGTTGATGTTTTTATTTGGGGTATACAAACCTATTTTCCCTGATATAAAGACCTTTTGGGGTAAATCTAAACTATTTCCTAACATTAAAGGATCTCACTGTCCAGTTCCTTCATTAATAAAAAGTCCCTTAGTTTATCGGGAATTGGAAGAGATTTTAAATCGTGGTAAAACATGTTGCCAAGATGATGTCGAATCCACTTTCGACATATACCACGCAATGCCATGACATCACTGGCATTATGAAACCAATGCGAAAGTTCAGATCTGCACTCTTCGCTTACTGTGTCTCCAGACAGACACTCTTTGAGGTGTGCGTTGTCGTAACCGGTCAAAATGAACAACTTTATTATATTAACAAAACCCTTTTTAAAGGCCATTCTTACTGGACATGCTTCAAGAGGATTGTCATTTGAACATTGGAACAAGTCAACTTTGCTATTAGCTTTAAGCAAAAGTTTAACTACTTCAAATCGATTATTATCGGTAGCATAAAATAATGGTGTCTTCCAGGTGCTGTCAACCGAATTAATATCTGCTCCAGCAAGAATAAGATCTTCGATACAAGTCGAATGACCTTTAAAGGACAGTATGTGTAAAGCTGTTTTTCTAGCTGAATTGTTGGAAATGTTGACATCGCATTTAGCTAAGGACAGAATGGAAACAATTTTATCAAATCCCTCTGAAGCAGCTATTATCAACGCGGTGTTGTTCTGTTTGTCGCATATATTAGGATCAGCCCCCGCATTTAGCAACATTTCTACCGTTATGCCCATCGCTCTTTGGCTAGCGTAATGAAGAGCGGACCTCCCATCATGATCAGTCGCATTTGCGTCACACTGAGCTTCCAATAACATTTTAATTACTCTGTAACATTTGCTTTTCACGGCACATATCAGGGGTGTACAGCCATCTGAATCTTTGGAATTTAAATTCGCGCCATAAGTTATCAAATGTTCCGCGCAGTCGTCATAACTACTTTTCGCTGCGATATGAAGCGGCGCACACCTTGCGTTTCCCCTTAAGTTAGGGCTGCATTTTGCTTCTAAGAGTATTTTTGTTGTTTTGTCATCATTTAAGGACACAGCTAACATCAACAAAGTCTTTTCACTGCGGTCACTAACTGTTATATCCGCGCCTGAATCAAGTAAACATTGCACACATTCCGTCGCCTGTTCTTTTACACCTACAAGGAGTGCCTCAGCTTTCTCGTCATTTGATACACTAGGACTTGACAGGTAGATGTTTAATACCCGGAGATTCTTTTTAATAACCGCGTCTTTCAAACTGAAAAACAAGAAGAAAATGTTTTATAGCATGCATTGGGCTATGGATTGAAAATCAGTTATTACAGACTGGAAGCAATAAATAAAAAATATATATACATGTATACCCATAAGTATATACGGTTGTCATGTAGCAATTTCTAAGAATTCGCGCTGAAACTTCTCTTTCTTCAGTCTTCTGTCGATTGATTTGCTTTGTAGGCTTTATAACGATACTATTACAAAATTATTTCCGTTTAAATGTTACAGGGAGATGGTCGTTGTACATCGTAACCTATTTATTTGAAAATGGTTATTCATACCACAGAGGGGTTAGGCTAAGTTAAGAGAAAATGAATTGGAATGGGGTTTAACATCCTACTGTTCTGCTCCGGCTGGGCTAATGAAGACGGATATGCGCCATACAGTGTGCTATGAGAGAAATTTTGCCTGGCCAGCGGCGCTATGGCCAACTCTAATAAATATCGAATTCCAATTGCCAAGGGACCTTTTATGCTCGTACGTGCATGCAGATGTGTACAGGGGACCTCGGCTTTTCGTCACATTCGAACGACTATACGTTGTACCTTGTCAGGCCCTCTGTCCTCCACCACTGACAAAGTAGAAATGAGATATTGAAATGGGGTTTAACGTCCTACTGTTCTGCTCCTGACCTGGGCTAATGAAGACGGGCATACACCATACAGTGTGCTATGAGGGAAATTTTGTCCGGGCAGCGGCGCTACGGCCTGCTCTTATATCGAATTCCAACTGCCAAGGGATCTTTTACGTGCACGGCAATGTGTACACGGGACATCGGTTTTTCGTCCCATCCGAACGACTAGATAGCTGTCCTTGTCAGGCCCTCCGTCCTGCATTACTGACAAGGGGAAACCACGCCGGAAAATCTGGATGAACTTTCTCGGCCAATGCAGTGATCTAACACCCGACCTCCAGGCTAGCGAGCCAGCGTCTTACCCGCTTAGCCACGTGATCCCCAAAGTGACAAAGTGGAACCACGCTGGAAAATCCCGATGAATTTTCTTGGCCCACGCATCGGGATCGAACATGGGACCTCCGGGTTAGCGAGCCAACGTCTTACTGAGTCAGCGTGGCTCCCAGGTTAAGTTAAGACTTAGGGCTATCCTAATTGAAATCAGACCGTGGCTAGGGTTTTGGTAGGGTTAGGTTTAAGAATTTTGGAAAGATGTGTGGTGTTTTTAGTTCAAAATATCTTTGGAGAATATCGGTACGAATGTAGTTACTACTACCATACAAACTTTGAAGCAATGGCATGGCCTGTTGTTGCTCCGTGTGTGGTGGAAAGCGTTCAGCCCAGCTTAAATTTGGAAAAAAGTTGGAGCCGGGCAAAGAGATCACAATTAACATTTATGTCAGTGGAGGGAAAAAATGGTGGTCTACATCCTATTGTGGGGGCTTGTTAAATGGAGTTGTCTCCCTTCACTGCCGTTCGCACTTTGTTCACTTCTGCTGGAAGGTAACATGGTAGTTTGGTATCAGGTGTCAGAAGAACGTAATAAGAATCGTCAAGAAAAACGACAAAACACTCCTTTATTTATAATAAAACGTTATTGTTTCTAATCTTTGTCTATTTTCAAATGTTGTATAGAATTAGAATTACATTTACGAAAAATAATTGGTTTTATTGATAATGTTCGTCGTAGGCCTACTGTTAAGAAAATGGGAAACTGTCTTCAACCAAAATTGAAAGAAGAAACTAGAAAGGCTAGTTTAGGTATTCATTTCTACCTATTTTATATTTCTAAATACACATACTCAGTTAATCATATTTAGAAAATACGTTATTTTCCAGAACTGGCATGCTAAAGTGTCGCTTTTATCAGGAAAAAGGTAAACTCACCTGGACATAATATCAGTACGGTATAACTTAGTTGATAGTTCAGTCAGCAAAATGGTGAGATGAAAGTTGACATTTGTCTAACTAGTTTCTATAAGGGAACTAACTCTTCAATGACAGCCTTTTAGTTTTGGTAAGTTTGAAAGGAATAAAATGAGCGGAAGAAAACATGAGTTAAATCTAGGGTTAAAATTCAAGAATGGGAAGATGGCTCAGACAAATTAATAGGCTCTACTTTCTTTAGCTTTTTGTAGGCCCTACATATCATTATCTATACCAGTTCTTTAGACAAAATTAGCCAATAGGGCCTATTATTTATTTTACACCAGCCTTTAGCACTTGGTACATAATTATTATATATGCCGCTTCTTTTCAGAAAATTAGAGAAAAGTAGGCCTAATATATTTATTACATAGTAGATCCCTGAAAAGGCCAAAATGTCGCTGAAATATTGTACCTGTTTGGTTCGCGGCTACAATTTCGCAAGTAAAATTATGTTCAATTGCAAAATTTTCAACACATATCACCACAGTTTGTATGGAAATAAGTAATTATATATATGTTGAAAATTAATTTTCGAGGTGACGTGAAATCATGTTTTAATTCTGGTTTGGCAACGATTTTAAAATGGACAGAAATTTTGTGTAGCAGTTGGGTTTTATCAAATCGTATAATAATGCGATAAGGTTTCATCTTTATTTCAATGGGAATTGGTTTATTATATGTTAAGCTATGTGCATATAGTTTTAGGTTGGTGTAATTGGGAGTTATAGGCCAGCAAATTTTTTGTCCTCAAATCATGACAAGACCTGCTCAAAGGAGGTCCTTAGAATGATCCACTACAGTGGCTGGAACAAGACATAAGACATCAGTAGTGGAACCATTTCTACCTGAAACCGACTGAAGCTACTGATTCTTAGTTAGAATGCCCCATTCTGTCTGAGTTATGTGAGTAGCTCTCCATATTGTTGGACTGCATACTAGTTCTTGTGGGTGTCACATGACTCAGGCAGTTTAGGGCGGTCTTAGGATCAGTAGTTATGACTGGTTTTGAGCGGTGCAAATGTTATAGAATACAATTTAATTTTGTTTTATTTTTTCTGATTTTGATAATACAACCTATTTTCTATCACAAGACTTGCTTCCAGTGATAGTTCTAAGTATATCAACCAGTGATGAAAATTAAATGAAACGTACCGGTAATGGGGTTTAATGTCCTACTGTTCCGCATCAATTGGGTTATACGCCAAAAGCCATGCAGTGTGTTATGAAGGAAATCTTGCCTGGATTCCCACTGTCAGGGGTTCTTTACATGCTTGCTAGAGTGTAGGCCTACACAGTACACAGGACCTTAATTAGACAATGTTCCTTTCCAGGCCCTCATTCTGCATTACTGACAAAACCAGTATTTCCAGGTTAGCGAGCCAGTGCCTAACTGACACAGCCAGTGATACAATAACCTAAAACTCATCAGATCAACTGAATTTAACTGAGAGTTGCATTAAAAAGGCGACATGTAAGTGGTCTTTTATCAGTTGCAACTAGTGGCAGCAGCATAAGCAGTTTCGCAACTGAATGTAGCTAGTTTTCAGGGACGTTTAGGCATTCAATGTAGTTTCGTAGTTTTCCTCCTTAGATGATAGCAGTGTCATTTTGTACTGATTACATGGCCGTCATGTGGTTTGGTGGGATTTCATGGGTCAGTTACATACGATCGCAGTCAACATGTCTTTACAACTAAACGTGCACAGACAATATACGCGGTCTGCATTTAAGTTGTACAAAACCTGATTGACATCTGATTTTAATTGTATTGATGATGCCTTTAATCCAACAAGTCATTTTAATTGCTAAAAAGTAAGGAAAATATTACTTGATTATAAGGATACGGTTTATTTTGCAACCATATTCTAGTGTGCCCCCGAAAAAAAAAAGAGTGAGGGAAAGCTCTATCAAAATTCAAAAGTTTTCAGTAGCAAATTTCAGGTTTGTCTCCCCATTATTTTACTTTCAATGAATGAATGAATGAATGAAATTATGTTTTACATCCTACTTTTCTGCACCTACTGGGCTAATGAAGATACACCATGCAGTGTGCTATGGGGGATATTTTGCCCTGACAGAAAGTGAATTCCCACTGCCAAAGGTTCTTTTATGTGCACGCCAATGTGTGCACAAGACATTGGTTTTTAATCCCATCTGAATGACAAGATGGTTTCCCTTTCCAGGTCTTCTTTCCTGCACTTCTGACGAGGGGAAACTAAACTGGAAAGTCCCTGTGAATTTTTCGGCCAACACCGGGATCAAACAATGAGTCTGTATCTTTCGCACTGAGCCACCATGGCTCTCCATATACTTGCAATACTGTGAAAGTTTGTGAACACAAAATAAAGCATAGTTTTAAACCTAATATACTAAGCAGCAAAAGAAGCGTCAGGTTGGTATGTTACTCCGAAAAGACCCATTGCATAAAACTTGCCAAATGTTTTTATTGTATATTTGTGACCACTTTACCTGAGCAATAAGGCTCCTTCCCAAACACAGAATTGGAACCCAGGAAATGTTCTCAAAAACACAACCTGACCTCTGAGATGGTAATGTGTTCTCCATGATTTTCATGTAACTCATGCTGCACGTGCTTGTTCACCGGGACCAGCTCTATAAAATGCACACCCATACCTGGTTGAATCATTCACACTACAACATCAGCAGCATGCCACAACTCACGACAGCTCCGAGGAACCAGGTGCTTGGAAAATTCAACGTTGGCCACACTGCCCAAGCCGTTGCCAATCACTTCCAAGGGTTACCACAAGGGGACAAGACCGCCATGTTGTGTCACAGCACGTGCAGAATCGCTTCACACAGGCATCTGAGACAGCACATCAGTCAGTGGGAACACACGGAAGACCCATCAGTACTGATACAGTGCAATGACGTCTCACCAGAGAGAACATCCATTGCCGTAGACCTTACGGTTGACCAATCCTCACCCCTCGCCATCGACGTGAACGTCTACAGTTTGTCCAACAACACCAAAACTGGCGACGTAGGCAATGGAGAACTGTTCTGTTCACATATGACAGTCGGTAGGCCTATTGCGTATAAACTGCAGATGGCAGGACCAGAATATGGTGTCCATGTGGCCAGCGTTATTCTGACCAATGTGTCATGGAACGAGACTCATGGGGAGGTCCAAGCATAATGGTTTGGGTTGGAATTGTCCTGAACCAGAGAGTGGGTCCATTGGTGTTCCAAAATCTTGGTCCAGGGAGAGGAGGCAGGATCACAGCAGTGCGCTACATTGATCAAGCTCTCAGACGCCACGTCTTACCACATTTTGCACGTCATCAAAACATTTTCGAGCATGACGTTGCCCATTCTACAGCAGAACAATGTCAACGTTATGAACTGGCCAGCCCTTAGTCCGGACTTAAACCCGATTGAACATCTTTGGGATGAAATTCAGAGGAGACTTAATAACGTCGTACCAAGACCAAACACAGCCGATGGATTGCTGCAGGCTTTTCTGAGAGTGTGGTTCCAGGTGCCAATGGCGTTCATGAATGGTCTGGTCCACTCAATGTACAGACACTGCGCTACTGTTATTGACACTTGCTGTGGACATACCAGATACGATGTATAGACTGTGTACAGACAGACTCTAAACCTTCTCGTAATGTCTTGGAATTGTGATGAATTATTCACTCTTGTGTCAACATACTGTTCACAAAAAATTGCTTTGATCCATTTAGTAAGACATTTTCTAGAATGATTTGATTAAAGTGCCTCTCAAATTTTGAAATCGTACTGACGTTTTGTTTTTTTTGCTGTTTAGTATATTTAAAAATTTTGTGTGATTGCTCATTGTGGCATAAAAAGAAACCTGTGGAATTTCCAAATTTTAAGATTGTAGATTTCAAATGCGTTTTTGCTGAGTGACAAGTTTGTAAACATGATACAGAAAACAGCACCCTGTGTATTTTTTAAACTCGGTTTGAGTGTTCATTGTGGCATAAGAAAGACACTTTCAAATTTCCAAATTTTTGGATCATAAATTTCAAACAAATTTTTACGAAGTTATCTCTTCTATTCACATTCTAACTGTTAAATCTAGTGAACGTAAGACTGCTTCATTGGAGCATAAGGAAGATCCCTATTGAATTCCACAATTTTATGATCATAAATTTCGAAAGCTCATCATAGTTTTACTTTTAAAGTTTAGTAGGCTACAGAGGTTGTAATAGATATTTTAAGACATGCTCTTGAATTTATTTACAATGATATTAGATTTCAGTGTGGGCTTATCATGTCATCCCTCTGTCTTCTGTCTGTCCGTTAGTCATTAATGGCTTGTGAATGCAATAGACTACAGTTCTTGAGGTATTCTTTTTCATGTGCTGCATTTTCAGCATTTCCATTTCAGAGTTATCGCCCATTTTCCCAAAACCTTTTTGACGTGTTAAGAGTTTGGACATGAGAGGACGGACCATATTGATTTTCAGATTTCCGTGACTTTCTGTTTCTGAGTTATCTCTCCTTTGCCGAAGTCTTGTGATTTTAGATTCTGTTCAAATATGGTGTGAAGCGTTGTGGTCATGAGATTAACCATTTAATTTGTACCAGAGTTATACATACCCCTTTTTCTGAAAACATGATAGAGACTAGAGTTTCAATGGATATTTTTCAAATTTGGTGGGAAGCATTGGGGTCAAGACTCCAGAGAGCATGAACCCTATCGATTTCAGTTTTTAACTGTTCAAACTTGGTGTAGGTTTTTTATTAGGTGAATGCCTTGAACAAGTTCATTAATGAATATTATCTGCTTAGGTTAAACGGAGTAATCACCAATTTGATTGGTTGATGCTTTATAAAAGATAAATTTGCCTGCTATGAATGAGTGTTACTGTCATCTATTTAAAGATAACATCCTTGGAAGTCCATGGTCATATTACCCATAGCCTAAATACCAGGAATAAAATATTTATATATATGTTGCCTAAAACAGATTCGATGAGTTTTTTCTGCTAAATATAATCTGTAACTTACCCCTAATGGTAATAATTAAAGTTTTAATGTTGCCCCCAATAACTTGATTAACATAAAAGGAATATATCTTTAAATGAATTAACACAGCCAATTAGGTTAACAGAAGATATATTTTCTGCTCAAAATAGATATTTTCAGAAGTACATAATGATAACAAAATTTAATGAAAATATTGGCGCATTATTAATTTTTTCCAAAATGTCCTTTAATACTTAATATTTTTAAATTGATATTTATAGTGAGATTTGTAAAGGAAAGGTTTGATCATTGTGCAACTACTAGACACTTTACACATTTTCCTGATTATCAGTTTGATGAGTAATGAATTGTTATCTCCGGATGAAGTTTTGAGAAAGGAATTAAACTATTAAGGCATCTGTTAAGCCATCTGCTAAACTGCAAAACTATTGATTGAAGTAGTACTTTTTGCTTGTGGATTGGAATGAGTTGGATTTGAATATAGATAAATTTAATGGCTTGAATAAATATTTTCATATGCTTTATATCAAACTTCTGTATCCGAATAAGAGTGGAATTCTTTTAAAGATATGTCCCCACGATTTTAATTAGGTCATTTAGTGCAATCTGAAAACTTATTTGTAAATTTATGATAAAAAAAATATTGTATTTAAACTTGTTTATTAATAAATAAGTTTATTTTTTCTCCCTTTGTAACTTAAAAGTAAAAATCTATTATATAAATTACTTTGACAGAATTATCAATTATTATATTATAGTTGGATAATATGTTTTTTTGAAGGAAAGTTCTTGGCTAGTAGAATGTAGAGGAGGTGTACATAAGTTTTCTCTGTCAAGACCACCATGACAACTGCACGCTTATCAACTTCATTAAAGATTCACCAGTGTGGAGAAATATGGTGAATGAGACCTGTAAAGTACACTGATATCATCTCAATAACAAATTCAATTTTAGAATAGTTTTAGGGATATGAACAATACGCCCAGATTGAAATTTGTTGTCTACAATAATTTGTAAGATGATGAAGCCAATTGAATCTCAGACATCACTGATAATAACTTCCAGAGTTATTGTCCTAGCGAAGAATCCTATAAAATTTCAACAACTTTTGTTTAAATTTATGTTGTTTGTTTAGATATAAATATAAAGAATGTGGGGACCCTTTGGGACTAAATCTTATGATATTGTATAGCTGTTCACTGCAAAAGTTCTTAAGTGTGAATCCATTTTGATTTAAAATGGTTCAAATATTATCCAACGTGACATATCATTTATGTCTCAGTCGAGTCAGTCATGGAAAGCCCAATTATTTGTATCGTAACATTTCTACTTGCATATCAGCCTTCTAAATGATTTGATTGGCTTTTTAGAGGGTGCACGGCATGGGCTATTTCTAAATAGGATAAAAGATGCCATTTCTCTTGGATGGGCTTACTAAATTGAACAACAGTAGGATCATAATCCATTATATAAACGATCGAATTTCGTTTTTATCCAATTTTGATGAAACTTGAAATGTATGTTTATAACTCAAAGATCTTGGTTCCTTTCAATATAGCACATCTCAGACTGTAACTTCCTGGATTATGGCCCCTGATTTTCCGAAAAAAAGTTTATTTTAGCTTGTGTATTCTCTAGAGGTCACAATTTTTATCTGATTTAAAAAACATTTAGAGATTTCACCATTCCACCGTAATGAAGGTTGAATTCGTATGGATTTGAATGGATGCAGATTGTGTAAAAGTATGTAATACGAAGGTAGTGGACCTTCTAGAGATCACAAGTTTTATCCGATTTTGATGAAACTTAGAATATATCTTTATATCCCAAAGATCCCAGTCGCTTTCAATACTTGCGCCTTTCGGACTATAACTTCCTAGATTATGGCCCCTGATTGTGCATAGAATCACTTTTTTTTTAGCTTGTTCTCTCTATCCATTCCTTGCAAACTGTGTGCGTATCTTGCCTGGCAACCGCTTTTTTTTATTCCTTATCAGTAATGAATGTATATAACTTTCCAATATCATCTGAAAACAAAGGGATTAGGAGAACCTAATCTATTAATCATTACTTATCACCCCTTACTTGCACCTTGATCAAACAAAATATTGTACATTCTTAGAACATGACCCTGTTACTGTGATTAGTCAGGCTATTACCACACATTGGATCATTTCTTGGCTCAAATCACACAGTTGGTCTTTAATAACATGAACCTGGGCTTGGTAACACTTTCCATACCCATATCCTTTAATCTCCCTACCATATGGTGCATACTTCTTATGGAATATTATCAACGTTGTTGTTGATCAAATAATATCTTTATTGAAAAGAAAGTCAAATTTTAACGTAAAGGTCGTGTTTGATCCATTTGTTTTTCCTTCCTTTTTAACCACTACAAGATAATCATATTAGTTTCTGTACTATTTCATATTTGCAGGTGCTCTTAGCAAGGCGTGCGTGTGTTTTCCAATAATGTCTGATAAGACCCGGAAATTGAAGAAAACGTTAGTTCTGCAACGTCTGAATCAGTCTTGGAAGCTGTGACTAAAATGTAAATATTATTATAGAAATACAACCGTTTTTCTTAAAATCATAAAAATACCTCAGCAATTAATATTTTAAAACTATAAAACAGTGTGACAGATCGCTAGGGAACGTTTTGAAAATATAATCTGTTGTTTGGTATGGGACCTTACTGATGATAATCAGTGTAGTGTGGGGGGGGGGGGGGAGTTGAATTTGGAAATAAGAGTAGGCCATAGCACGTATGCCCATCTTCTTTAAGCTGAATGGATCAGAAAAGTAGAATGTTAAACCTAATTTCATTTCATTTTCTTTCTGTAATGTGGGTGGTGGTGAGTGACACAAAGTGCTTTGAAACAGAAGTGGTTTGGTGTATGTGGAAGCATTCCCCTCAATCTTTGGAAATGTGAATTTCACACCAGTTCCCTATTGCTCTGGAGCCTGTATCATGCAGGGGCATGCTGGTCCCTATGGGGCCCGGGAGGACTGGCCCCTATGGGTCTATGGGGCCCGTTGAAATTTGGCAACGGGAAACGCGTTTTGCAAGCACTTCTGGGAGAAATCTAGGTATCATATTTTCCAAATTTATGCTGCTATTTTGACTATAAGACATACTACTGTACTACACAAGACACTCATGATAGGTCTGCTTAATATAATGCTATTACAATGTATTTCTATCCAAATAATAAATTGCATCTTATACATATCGAGGCATGAATACATGTATCAAAGACCATTTCACCTTAAGGTGACAGACATTTGCACGTCAGCATAATATATTTTACTAATCGTTGTGTATGTATGATTTTTCGCTTGCGCACTCTCAATTTTTTGAGGGGATTCCGCGTGAAAATTAGAGCTCTCAGGGAGGCCCGCTTATACGGATGGACTTCTTGTTTAATGGGGGCCTGGGAGGACACCGTCCTCCTAAATTCCCTGCCAGTACGCCCCTGGTTTCATGAAATCTTAACTAAAGATAAAATCAAACTTTTAGCAGATACTTCAATTTTGATTGGCTAAGCACTAAAATCAATTTAATATTATCCAATCAAATTACTAAAATTTGGATTTTATCTTAGTTAAAATTTCGTGAAACAGGCTCCAGTACTGTAACTGTTGTACTAACCATCAGGATTATTTTTCAAGCTCAATTCCAGCTTGATCACATAAAAAATATGCCTCAACGTCAGTCAATGAAAAACAAAGATCTACCCATGAACACAATCATTGGTGTACAGTATGCAGTATGTAAAACCACTGCTGTCTAGGAAAAGTATCTTGCCTAGCATTGTACATGACCATTATAAATTAGATTTACAATATGTTAATCTCAAAATGACTGAAGTATCATGTTGACAGTTAACTCCTTTGCTTTGTAGTTTGTAGTATGTTTAGAAGATCCATTCATTTGCTACAAAAAGTACTGCCTAAATTGAAAATATTATTATTTTGATTTGAATTGCATTTCAGGAGTCATAGAAAAAACCCAGTTCCATAATCCCAAATTCTGTAACCTCCAACCAATTGACTAACATGACTAAATTTCTAAAAATCTATTTTTGAAGTGTTTGGTTAAAATATTTAAAATGTTGTCATCTTATTTAAAGATAAGCAGAAAATGGATTACAGACAGTACATCAATATCAAGACCAGTCACTACTTGATTGGGTATGTAATTTATTTATTCTTCAGTAATTATGTTTTTAAAGTTCTGTTGGTTTACAATAATAAATGCTTATGCCGCTGATGAGGATATCTTTATCGGGGGAAGAGATGTATGTGTCAATTTGGATATAGTTTGTTTGGTCAAATGATTGTGCAAAAATATAGTAGAGTGAGATTTTATTAAGAGAAGCAAAAGAGATAAATATCTGAAGATTTAAAATTAATTGATGAGATCATGTTAATGTGGTCGTATATTATTGTCAGTCCTTCCATTTGTCCAACTTGTTGTAATCATGATCACTTTTCTTTTTTCAAACTTGGCAGATTTCTTGAACTATTCGACATAACCGTATCAAAATTAAGAAGTGTAATAGCTATATAGAACAGATTTTTTTTTTCTTTATATGCTAAGATCGTTTGACTGGTAAATAGGATGAATCCTTTAAATTATGGCAGACATTTCTTGAGTTATTGTCCTTGTCATTGAAACCTTGGAATTGCTCTAAAGGCTTGTTTTAAGATTTTTATTTCAAACATACTGATTGTTGTTATTTACTCAGATGAATAAACACTTTTGAATTCAAAGGCATGAATTATTGTTTTGGTGTCCTTGCCATCTATTCATTATAATTGATTTCTGAGCAGAGTGACAAGTTATGAAGGTGGATCCTATCAAAATTCTGATTACTGTTGGAGGTAGTGCCCTTGCCATCAAGGTCTTTTGGAATTTTTTTTTTTAAAACTTTGCTTGGATGCTGGAGAAATTTTCTGAAAACTTCAAAACATTTTCACATGGTGACAACTTTTATAAACTGCGTGGAAGACTAAGCTACCCCAGGGGATGTTTTGTTGCCTGCCAACCTAGTTAGCATTACATTTTTTATCTAATTTGTTCCCTTGAATGAAGTGGGTGCAGGCTCTCACCAGAACCTTCCTTTAAAAGTTTTTATTGCTGTTATTAATTGTTTTGGTTGCCACAAGTCCTATTAAAGTTTAAATGGTTTGTTTGTATTGGACAAGACAAGAATACTGACCAAAGTAATACAATAATAACATGATAACTGAAATGGGTCTGTAAATGGTAATAAGGCTTTTATCTTATTTTGATAATTATTTACATAATAAATGTACAAAGAGCAAATTTATAAGGCAGGTTTATATAATAATTTGTGTATATCCATACTACTTATCATATACCAACTGAAATGAAAGATTATAATGTGTCCTGTTAGTTCACTGATTTTCCTTGATATGATAAGTATATCTTGTTATCTGTAGTAGTCTCTATACCAAGAGTAAAATCATTAATGGAAAAGTCTTAACCAAAGATCTATCTCTTTCAGATGTTCACAAATAATAGTGATTCCTTCATTCGTATGCAGTTATTCTGAATTTTCTTATACAAGCTGTTAAATTTATATAAGATAAAGTTGAAAGGGGCATGCCATAATGCAAAGATCACCCTGGCTTTCAATTTTTGTGCGGGGTTGGATGGCCGAATGGTTAGCGTGTGCGCGCTGTATCATAAGGCCTGTCATTGAGTCAACGAGTGTGGTTTCGAATCCCCGGTTGTACGTGACAAGGATTAGGGTCGCCTGTCCAAACTCGTGGGTTTTCTCCGGGTCCTCCGGTTTCCTCCCACTGCTAAAGACCCCTACGTGCAAGCAAATTATTGAAATAAAAAAGATAAACCATATGTTAGTCCCGAAATGACCTAGTTTGTGTCGAGTGGACGTTAAACCCTCCCTCTCTCTCTCTCTCTCTTCAGCAGAACAGTAGGATGTTAAACCCCATTTCATTTCATTTCTCTCTCTCTCTAATTTTTGTTCCCTAAAATAGATCACAATTTTTATCTAAAAAACCTGTTCACATTTATTGTATCTGAAGAGGGTTTGGGGGGGAGGGGGGATGGCCAAATGGTTAGTGTGTGCACGTTGCATCATAAGGTGAGTTATCTGGTGTTGTTTTGATTCCCCAGTTATTACGTGACAAGGAGAAGGATTGCCCGTCCAACCTCATGGGTTTTCTCATTGGATCACCTACAGATGACAAGTCTGAATCTACTGACTATTTCATCATTCAGAAAAAAATAGGTATTGTTTTGGAAGGATGTAACAATGATTTACTTTGATTACTCAAGCATTCAATTTTTCTAGTTTTGGAGTTGTGAAAGGTAATTTAGATCCCCTTTGCAGGATCAAAAATAAAAACTTTATCCTGTACGTCCATATGCCAACTTGTAGATGTCAGAGGATAGGAAAACTGGCTGAATATTTAGACAAGTTTAAACAATGGTACCCTTTATATGCTGCTTGTTGAAAATGCAAATAATGTTTTTGTGCATTTAAATTTTTTTGGTATACATTTATGCATCATAGATAGTTTGCATTAATTGTATTTACATCAGTTACCTTGGAACATTCTTTTCCTGCATATATATAAATATAAATTGATATGAATAAATAAACTCATTGCTTTCCCTAAAAAAATAAAAGATAAAAAATAATGTGAGTTTATTTTCAATAAAATTAACTTATATCTTGAAAAACCAATATTGAAATATCCTGTAGAGATACAAATGAATGCTATCATCTGAGTATCAGCTATTTATTGACTGTGAAAGCATGTTTTTGTATGTACATTATCTGTCTATTCTTATTTTCTATAGCCATTTAATTATTTAATTGAAGCATAACCACATCTTCAATTTTAAATTATGAGGGAAAGTTTTATCTTACATTACTTCCCAATAGAAAAATCTTAAATGTTTTGCTTTGAAATCTTTTGATATACAGTCGTAACAACCTAGTCTTTATCAAAAGTTTTACACATTTTTTTTCTGAATACACCTAAGCAGATACAGTATTGATATTTAAATTAAACAAAATTTCTTTTTTTTATGGAAGAGTGAATCTATAGATATTATTTAACCATGCCTGTAAAATGCAAGGCAGAAATGCCTTAGTTTTTTATGTCAGATATTTTCAATATAGTCATTTTTACCCCTCCATTTCTTTACCAACAGATTTCTTAATTTTTTTTTAAATTAAATTATATCTTTATCATATCAAATCATCAATATATGCAAATTTATTCCTGTAAAAGCTTTCACATATGAAAAATATGTTTGATTGTATTGTAGAAATTGCTTATTCCCACAGAAAGTATAAAAATGTATTCTATGAAAAAACAACATACATGTAGGTAAATTGAAAGAAAATATAGATTATTTGTTGCACAAGTTATAGAATCTGAAAAGCAAACACAAAAATATAATAGAAATAATATTTTATTACGGGTTATTACGGTTTAGTTACAAATCTGATATTTTCCCACCATTATTTTGTCAAATGATCATTGTTTTCAGTATCATTAGTTTTCATTTTAGACTGTGTCACTTTTTGAGAAATTTTGCAAATTGTACCCAGATGTAGGTTTTCATAACAATGACATCAATTGGTTGGTAATGGGAATTTTTTACATATGTTCTTACCTTTCAATGAAAAGAAATCTGTCTTTTAGATTATAATAGAATTAAAGTTTGAAATGGATTAATACAAATCAAGCTTTATGAAAATATCGCCACATCTACGTCTGAGATGGTAGAACATGTTCTTTTTCATTCCTTTTACTTGTATCCGTGAGGAGCCACGGTGGCTAATTGGAGGTTCGATCCTTGCTTTGACCAAGAAATTTTCCAACATGGTTTCCCCTTGTCAGTGGTGCAGGATGGAGGGCCTGACAAGGAAAGCTGTCTAGTCATTCAGACGGGATAAAAAACTGAGGTCCCGTGTATACATTGGCATGCATGTTAAAGATCCCTTGGCAGTTGGAATTTGATATAAGAGTAGGCCATGGTGCCGCTGCCCGGCCAATATTTCCCTCATAGCACACTTTATGATGTATGTCCATCTTCATTAGCCCAGTCGGAGTAGGACGTTAAACCCAATTTCATTTTATTTCATTTTTGTAACCGGGACCTTAAACTAAGATTCTTTTAATAATATACGGTTATTAATATACTGGGAATGAAGTTTACAGGTCATTGAATCTATCCCTAGATAAATGCAACTGTAAGAATCAAGTTATCCAGAAAAACAATATACCTATGTAACATTTAGTAACACATAAGTAACACACCACCACACCAGAATAAAAAAATCACAACCTTAATTCTCAATTGACAAAATAGAAAGAAATATTTTAATAGTTATAAATCTAGAGTGCTGGAAAATGTATCTTTTGAAGTTGTCACATTGTATCACTTGGGAGATTAACACCCCACACCCTTTAGTTTTCTCAGCAAACCATCTTTGGACCCACGTGGATTAGATGTGCACAACACTTCCAACATTATCTCTTTGATATTTGATTTAATCTCCTCTTGAAATTGGTGAAATTTCAAATATGTTTCATTTGAATGATATTAAAACTTGTTTTCTTTTACATTGTGTTACTGTAACATTTCAACTGTCTCTAATATTAAATGGCTTATTTCAATGTTAAAAAGTTCAAAGCAGATTTGAATTGTAGTGAATATTTTTGATGTCTTTAATGGAGACTTTTTAACATGGATCATCTTTTGGTGCCACTTGAAATGTGAACAAATGAAGCAAGAGATGATAGTGTTGTTTATTAAGAAAGATTAACTGACCGTCTAAAGGCTACTTGATGTTTTCAATGGGGCTCTTCATATTGTTCCCTAATCTACTTAAGGATAAAATTTTGCCACAAGGGAATCTTTTGTTATATTCTAAAGAGATTTAGAAAATTTGTTATTGAATGGTCAAATTTTATTTTGTAATTGTCAGTTAGTTATTGACTCAAATAACTTGGATGTTTTGGGGGGTTTTTTTTATCTTATTTTGAGTTTCCACACATCAATTGATATTTTATTGAGATGACTTTAATATAATTACATTAATTACTTGACAAAATAGGTGTGGTTACTATATAATTTTATTTGAGTAGTATAATTCATGATATAGTCAATGTTTTTATGT